AAAGAATTGGAGATTCTTGATATAACATACATTGTAGATGATAAAAAAAAAATATTGAAAATTTCAGTCAAATTACTATATTCTGAACGAAGTTATCACTATTGGAAGTTTGGATTAGAAATAGGCCCACATATTCTCGATTATCAAGTAACATACTCCATTCTAAGGTACCCTAGATCGCCAGTCCTTTCATCTGCAGTCTCCGGTGTGACGTCAGTGATTAAGGGTAAATGTTAGCTCGGTCAGCCATTTAATAATTTAAATATTAAATGGACGACTGTTTAAATCCAAGCTGTATCCATCCCATCCGAGGGTCTACAGAGTGGATTTGGACTTGTTATGTAAATAAAGGTCCTTAACATTTGAAGCCCATGAAAAAAACTTACAATGGGCATATTCGTCTCCTATTAAAGATACATTAGTTAAAACTAATGTATCTTTAATAGGAGACGAATTGATATAAGCCTTTGGCTTATTTTTGAATCCTTATCTTTGATAATGTATGTATCTTTAAATATTAATCTTATTTAAATAACTATTGTTTAAAACATTGTCCCGATTATTAAGTCACTATGTGAATACATTTAGTTTCAGAAAAGAAGATTAATACGATAAATTTCAATGGTTGCTTTAAATCATTTTACTGATAACGTTCCTGAAATCTGGATCCCTTCCATTAAATCTTGACTTTCCTGTAAAACTCAATTACCCATTGATGAACAAAAAAACAGCATTTTCCGATAATTTCAAATGTCACAGAAAAGCATTGAGATTGAATGATTTTTTTTTATGTTCCTACTAAAGATGAAAGACAACAACCTATTACTCTTCCACAATGATGGGTCATATAATGTTCCCCTATCACCTGTCTATAAAGGAATAAATGTGTTGTATTTGGGGTTTTTTCTCAGGCACCAACCCAATTAAATTGGCACAATGATATTTAAAGACGTTGAATTAAATACCAACTGTTCAGTTTATGATTACTTAAAGGAACTAAGTTTTGTTTAACGTATCATTTGTCGTTTGCTATTAAAATAGCCAAGGTTCTTCAGTAATGCTCACTAATTATCCTTGGGAGTTGAAATTCGAAATAAGGAGACGGTAGCACCTTAACTACCCTTATGGGACACTGCGTGGCGAATGTCCGTCTTGGCTAGCCGGATGAGTTCAGAACAGTAGGATACTCAACTCCATTTTATTCTGTGTACTTTAAAGGTGCTAAGCCGCCTTGATTTCCGTCAAAATAAAGTATTGAATTGGATCGATTTGATTGGTTATTTAGATTATTAATTGAACAAGCTCTATATACAATTAATTTTTTGTTTCGAAAGATTTAATTGAAGTCGGCATATTTTATTAAATTTAATAACAGTGGAATAAAAAATGAGTTTAGTTTGTAAGACTGTCAACTTAAAAAAAACAAACAAATCGACAATTCTTGGGGACGGCGGCCCCATATTTTATAGTGGTATCGATGACATCATTAGCGCATTCTTCAGTTAAAGGTATAGCTTCAACTGTAGCGCCTAATATATTTATGATCCGAGTAGCTGTCATCATTATCTATCTAATAAAACAATTGGACCACTACATATAACATGTAATAGTATGCGATATCACCTCAGTGGAAACGGGCGTTAAATAAAGCTATTTCACACACACATAATTGTGGTTTGCAGTATGGATTTAAGACACCATCGTGACTTCCGGATCAAACAGATCTGGTTGGGCTGATTACAACAAGAAGATCCGATCATTAGCCACCCCCCCCCCCCCCCTGCCCTTGCCCTTGCGCCCGTGACCAAGTTTGGATGATAGGCATTCTCCGGGTTATTGGTAATAAGTAACCAAAATACTACCTTGTTATGGTGGACATGAATTTAGTTCAGTTACAAACTACAACCACCGTTAGGTTATTTTTTCTTTAGAATTACACAGTGAAAGTATCAAAAGACTGAATAGTTTGATGCCCAGTTCTAGATAAATCGATAAAAACAATGTTTCATAAAATTTTATACCAAATGCCTTGAAAGGTTTTTGAGATATGTTCCAGAATAAAAATATTTCATACCTAAATCTAACAACTAGCTGGCAGGGAGTAGGGTCGGCTTACCTCATTGGTTTTCTACGGGTCAACCCCCACCCCGCTACGCGCAAGCGAATTATGATATAAAATTGAACCATATGTTAGTCCCGACGTGACCTAGTTTGTCTTGATTTTAGGTCTCTCTCTCTCTCTCTCTCTCTCTTTCTCTCTCTATCTCTCTCTCTCTCTCTCGTGTCAGCAGTGCAGGACAGCGGGTATGGCAAAGGACAAAGTATAGTCGTTCGGATAGGACGGGAAACCGAGGTCATTTGTACACATTGGCTTGCATGTAAAATAACCCGTGGCAGTTCGATTACAATATAAGAGTGGGCCATAGCTCCGCTGTCAGGACAAAATGACCCCCATAGAACACTGTATGGCGTATGCCCGTCTTCATTGGCCCAGTCGGAGCAGAACAGTAGACCGTTAAACTCCATTTCATTTCACCTCATCACTCCTTCGTCTCTCGACCCCCCCCCCTCTATCTCTCTCTCTCCCTCCCTCTCTCTCTCGTTCTATGGATATCATTTCATAAAAAAATAAAAATAAATGCAACGGTTTTTCGAGACTATAGAAACCGGTTTGGATTGGGTCGTTGTTTTTTGGACTTCCCCGCCCTACCCCAGTCCTAGCTATTACAGTCAATGTGAAAGGGCATTTGACCTACTAATTAACTAGTTACTTTTATTGTTTAACCCGAACACCCCCACCCCTCCTCCTTTACCTTCCCCACTACACATTCGTCCACTACTTTTAAAAAAAACAATTGAAATAGTTAAAACTTGTGACTCAAATACTTTTGGCATACTGTAAAATCTATAATCAGGAATGCGGGTAAGGACTAAGACTAGTAATTAGTGCGAGTTATAAATAGACAATTTTTCCCTTAATTTTTTTCTCCCCTCTTCCTGCATTTTTTGGTTGACTTTTTGGTCTAGAATTGGAGAAAAGGGATCAAATGTGCAATTTCATAGCAGTTTTGGGTAATACTGATGATATTACAGCGGAGGGATAGGGGGTGTAAAGTGTCTTTCTGCAGAGCAATCATTGTGTCGGAAATGAGATTTTCACCCCAGTCAACTTCAAATCCGCGTAGCAAAAAATCTAAATCCTCAACCCCCTACAAAATTATGATGAGGAGATTGCCAAATGTTGTCCCCATTGTGCCTATAAAGATTGGAACCAACGGAATGTTGAGCAAAAAGCTACAGCCTGTGATGTTACAGCCATTTAAAATTGAAGTCAATGGGCAAATAATTGCTAGTCTGAGATCGTATTATCGTTCCAAGGGGGATAACTTCATAAATACCCATTCATTTCATTTTATCTCCAATTATCAAATTCCACATTTTAGTAGTAGTTTACGGAGGAAGTGTTAGAGATGGACTGAAGATAGCTACCATTTCAATTTGTAGAACGTCGACAAAAAAGATAATTTCGATTATTGCAAGAATATCTTTGTGTAACGAATTGAATATGGTATTTCATTCTGGATTTAATCTCGACCAGGTTACGCAAGGATCTTACCAGTGCTTAATCAATTCTCTGTTCACTGTAAAGGTGATTGGCTAAAATCGCTCTTGGTGAAGTCGTCAAAATATCTGACGATAATTAGGTAGATAAAAGGTCATATCAGCTAAACATATTCTTCTTGTCAGAACTTACAATAGGCTAAATGTAAACATCATAAAATAGAAAATGAAAGAATAAGGCATTGTCTTATTTTAGACTCTCCTATGGGCTAATGTAGTTGTTCCAAATCGAAAGATAAATGCTTCAAACCTGAGTCAGAAGTGAACAGACTGAGATAATGCGTTCAAAGCAGACTAGTGTGTGTGTGTTTCCCCAAAGAACTGGGACGTGAAGGGTCTATAAATTATAAAGCCCTACCCCTCAGGTTCTGTACCCCACTAGGGGGGTTGGATGGCCGGGCTGAATGGTTAGCACGTGCGCACTGTACCATGAAGTCTGTCATTGAGTCAACTGGTGGTTTCGAATCCTCGGTTGTACGTGACAAGGAGTAGGGTCGCCTGTCCAACCTCGTGGGTTTTCTCCGGGTCCTCCGGTTTCCTCCCACTGCTAAAGACCCCTACGCACAAGCGAATTATTGAAATAAAATTAAACAATATGTTAGTACCGAAATGACCTAGTTTGTGTCGAGTGGACGTTAAACCCCATTTCTCTCTCTCTCCCTCTCTCTGTCCCCCACTACCCGGTTTAAGCTCTCTACAGCGAATATGGTAGTGAGTGTCCATAAGGTCAGACTTTTGCACGAAACAGAATTTAGCTCATATACTTGTGATTTACAAACTTCTATTCCCTTGTATCCCTTAGGCATGGTCAGCATGTATAACCCGATAGCGAGTACGCGGGCATCGATATCAAATCCTGGAAGTATCAAGACCATAGCCAGCCAAAAATGTGAACTGCAAATTATAGAAGTGGTACAACATATTCTAGATGTGATTTCAGATAGCAACGTATGATATGTAATTAAGCTTTTAATTTTTTGAGACTGGGTCTAAATTCCTGGCATTCATGAGTTCATTGATGGGAGCAAATTCTTGTGAACGAGAAGATAAGAAATGCGATAGAATCTTGAGGCCTGCACGATAAATCCGCCAGTTTTGTGAGAGTTGACAGAACATTTGTACAGTCTGGCGTCCCACGACCCACTCACTACATTAGTGGTACTACTAACTGGGCGATTCACTATAACCGTGAATATAATAATGATGAGAGAGCATAAGACCACAGCTCAAGAGTGAAAGAATGATGATATAACGGAATCGAGCGCCCAAAAATTTCATACAGCACCCCTTCCGCCCTGAAAAAAAAAATCCGCGCATGAACCTGATACACTAATTTACAAAACAAAAAACCCAAAAAAAACAAACAAGATAGATATGTTTAATAATATTTAATAGACAGAAAATACATCTACCGTAGCACTATAAGATTTGGTCATCATATCCAAACTGTTTTAGTTTAAAGCAAAATTCTAGTTTTGGGGTCTGTATGCCAGCAAACTAGCTAATTAATGTTAAAAATGGGTTGAATTTTGCTTATTATTCATGATTTCCAGGCAAATGTATAAGAGCGTAAACATGTATGACATTTTGGGAAATTCTCGAAAGAACAGCATCTACCCATAATCAAAATGAAACCTTACTGTACTTTCCAACGACATTTTACAAATCTGATACGTCTGCTGGAACTTGTAGATTAAGACCCTTGGGGACATGTAGGCACGGAATCTTAATGGGGACCCCCAATCAAAGAAGAAATAAGATCGTGGTGAATTGTTTTTGAGCCATATTTGTTTTATATTTATTAGTAAAATACGCTATTACCAACCGTGTAAACAACTCACAAGGTATCAGTAAGTTTTGAGGCTTATTTTAAAATATCTTTGTTTGTGTTATTTTTATTTTCTGTACCACCCTTTTAGCCATGTGACTTCTGGGACCTCAGGAACCCCTAGTTGATCCGTCTCTGGGTATTCAAAATTGACAGGAATGAAGAATTAATTGTGGTCTATACCCATGTTGTTTTCAAGTTTCATAAATGGAGTTATTCCCCCTTACCAGTAGATTATTGAGCAGAAATTGAAATGAACAAGTGTATCACCGAAGATTAATTTGAGTAACGTTGAATTTTTATGATTTTTTAAACATATGCTTCAAACTGAATGATGCATAGGCCTACGTTTTATCATCCATTTGGTTTTATAGTTAGGTTTCAAGGGAATTAACCACGTGTTTCTTTTAAGTTACGATATAACACAAGCCTGTGATTTCTGTGCACCGCGAGCCTTGGCCACGAATCGTGCGACCTGTAGCGCCGTTCCCATGGCAATTTTGCTATTTATTACTTCACCGTTAGCGTTAAACTTTAAAGAAGTGTTACTCTTCGCGTGAACTTGTCGACTGGGCAGTGATTTTATTAGTTCGCCACTTCCTTCGTCATCGGGATCAGCAAGTGCCAGGTAGGTGACGCTGCCGTCAACCGTTCCTATGGCAATTTTAGTACCGTCATCATTACCCACCATCACCTTGACTTCCGCTTGAGGTTTGAATGTAGCAATCTTTTTACCGTCTGAAATTCTAAACACACGAATTGTCTTATGACCGGAATGATAATATAAGATATGTTTGTCATTTTTTGTAAACATTACGTCGATTGAGAACACCCCCTCTGCTACTCTGGGTATGAGAGTTCTTACATTTTTTCCCGACTTGGTGTCAATGAGTTGCAACCCTCCTCGACTAGGAGCATCAAAGCCTGTTTTCCCGTTAGATGTCGCCACACCGTTCCATTTATAAACTGATCGCACTAGTGTCTTTTTCTTTAAGTCTAATATGTTGGCCTTCTCTGAGTCTATGACGGCTATAAATTGTGAGTCGTGGGGTAGTGACACAAGATGGGTGTAATCTTTATAATTGTTATATTTTAGTTGCAAATTGTACATTAATGTTCCCACCTTCGCGTGATATACACCAATTACGTCACCACTTTTATCCATGGCGGGAACTGCTAGATTCAACTCGTCTTTAGTTAATATTGGCGCGCGAAAATTTTTCACGTTGTATTCGAATTTGAAAATAAATTCTGTATCCGGAATACTAAAACAAACACACAATCCTTTCCCTGTTGGCGATTTGGATAGCGCTAACACGCGACTGTCACCGTCATAGAGTAATATGTGTTGCACGTCGCCGATAGGAAGTGAAGTCAGTGCTGTATCTTGAGATAATTCCCACAATACAGCATTGCCAGATTCTATTGATATGACGTATTTTCCATCTTTTGTAATCACGGCATTTGTTATAACCGATCCTCTAGCATTACTGGTAAATGTCTTTTCTAGACGACCGGTTAACAGATTCCATACAGCCACCATATTTCTAGTAGTGCTTACACACAGGTCCGTGTTAGACGCCATGTCGAGGGTTTCGATTGGCTTTTCAAGCCTATCTATTGGATGGACGTCTTCCAAGATTTTATCAAAGTTCCAAACTTTGATGGTTTTGTCAATAGATGCTGAGATAATAATGTTACAACTTGCCGAAACGGCGGAAATTGCAATGATTCGTCCAAAATGAGCATCTAGAATTTTCACCAAATTACCCTGTTTTACATCCCATACATAAATGTTTTTTCGGACAGTAGAAACAACGAACTCGTTCGCTTTCGTAAAAACGACAGGACTCGTCAATTGATTCCTTGTGGGAATATTTCGGGCGCCGGGTGGAAGTTTTAGGTCCCTTCTCGTTGAGGACCTTAGATCCCACAGCTTAAATCCCATTGCCACTGTGGCGATTAGATATCTTTCATCCAACGATAAAGCCATAGCAAATATATTATCAGTATTTTCGGATATAGTTTTGGAGTATTTCCAAGCCTTCTCCTCCCTCCGATATAAAACGACTGCGTTGTCACTTATTTCAATACAAGCATAAAGAGTCGCACGATCTTTAGACACGGCAATAGCACTATGGAACTCGAATGCCGCAAAAGACCCATCGTCGCTCTCAAGGGCCATTTCATTATTATCGTCTTTACCACTGTTAACTACCACAAAATTGGAGTCGCCTGTGCTCAAATTTACAAAGATGACCGGCATATTTAACTCTGATTCCTGTCTAGAAATAAATGTTCCGTCAATTGTATACAAGTACCACGCCCTATCAGTGCACATAGCTATATGTGTATTGGACAGATAACTCCCAAGTATAGTCTCCTGTTTGTCTAGATAATTGGCAGTAATAACTTTAAAATCACCCGTTTTTATGGCACAGATCACAACTTGGTTATTATTCGTATTACTAACAGAGTATTTATCGTTTGGGGATATGTGTAGATTCTGCATGATGCCTCCAATTCCTGGGGTGATATTCCGGATAATTTCTCCTGTGTGGAAATCCCATATAATGATCTTGTTTGACACGGACACGAGATATTTTCCGTCCGAGGTAGTTCCAATTCCAAATGGGGCGAATGGATGACCTTCGAGAGAATATTGTAAAGGACCGCTTGGAGTGTGAAGACAGTGATAAGCTGGAACCAGAGCACAATCTGCTAAACCGTGAGTATCACACTGTTCTATCAAAGCTTGGATTTTAGGGTTATGGCCGTAAAACGGTAGTAGGCGACCAATGATCTGTGGTCCAAGCATGTCAGGATGATGACTTAAAATGGAACTAGACAGACGGATCGTGTCGGCGATTAATTTGACATCATTATCATATTTGCTCTGCAGAAGATCTTCAAAATCTGCCAATACGCTTTGGAGAGGCATGGAGCTCAACTTGGCATGAAGCCATTTGTAGTTGAAAAGAACTTGGTCGTACAGTTCATCGTGTCGATGAGATCGAAGGAGATGATACGGAAGTTCGCTAAGTTTTCTAAGATTGTGTCGAAATACCCGGCCGTCTTTATCAACAAATTTCAATGGTTGTGCTGGTACTTTCCTGTCTCCTTCACCTTTCTTCTCCGACAGACCAAACCTTTGTCTATGTAGCTCTGTATATTCAAAAGGTTTCGGTACACCCCCTCCCCAGGTCCCAAGGAAATAATCAGCAAGATTAGAATGCATGTCTCTAACGAAATTCAAGTTTTTAAAGTAGCGTTCTCTTGCTGCGTCAATGAACTGTCTATGGTACCATCCTATAACATTGACACCATCTGCTTCCTTTTCACTCAAGTATCCTGGCAAATCATTCCTGATCCTGGTCCACAACAGCGGGGGAATACGTCGGACAGGAGGAAGGTGATACTGATAAACGTCATTTAGCACTTTGTCGTCTAACGAGAGAAGATCTTCGAGCTCAGCCTCAGAAACGCCGCTCTTTGTTGCCGTTATGAAACCGAGAGCATGAGATACCAGTGTCTTACCATGTCTGGATTCTATTCTTTTAAAAAGTTCCATGATGCTGTCATTGATGGTGAAAGAAAGTTTGGTCATGTTTGGCATGGTATACGATTTCCATTTACAAATCTCGTCAAACACCAATTTAACAAACAATGGTAGGTTACACCGTGAGATAGCATCATTTACAACCGTCCATTGCTCTTCGGACACATTTCGTTTTGCGTCATTAAGCCAAAGTTTCAAGATGGTACTGCTTAGATTTTCACCCAGGGGTAACACCTCAACATAATTAGCGGTGTCTTCAATCAGGACTTTAAGAGTTTGCAGCAGGTCGAAGTAGTTGGGTAGCGTGGACAGGATCAAACGAGCATGTTCTGGTAGAGTAGTTGGTATCCAAGTCAACTGGTGTGCACCCTCGGATCCGGATAACTGATCAAGTGAATCTAAAAATATAACAAGAGGTTTGTCCTCTGTCACAAAAGATAGCAATTTTTTAAAATGTTGTGTTAATGGAGCAAGGTCGCTTGGTATTTCATCCAGGTCTTGCAGGTAAACAGTCGAAAGTTGTTTGCACAGACTAGTCAGCAAAGGAATTATGCTTGAACTTCTCGGTGTGGTTCCTAAAAACCTCAAAATGACCACCGGTTCTATGTTCCTTGTCGTCTTGAACCATGTGCGAACCTGAAAACAGAAAAAAACATGTGTTTCAGTTTTATAACCAAGATTTATAAGCCTTTTGAACAAAGCCCCGTGAAACAGCAAAAACCCTTCATGTTGACCTTATTGCTCAATTGTGTCCTGCATTTTCCATACGATTTCTGTTTGGACTATAATGATTAGGATTGGCAGCACCATAATTGTTATTGGTGCTTCACGCTTTGATAATAGCAGTAGCACAGGCTTTGATACTAGCGATGGCACACGCTGTGTTAGTAGCCCTGTCACTAGTTTTGTTAGTAGCTGTATCACAAGCTTTGGTTATAGTCGTATTACACAAGCTTTGGTACCAGGGTTGTTTCAGTATTGCTAGTAGTGGCCCATAATCTTCCTTAGTCCTTAGTAATACTTTCGGACGCATATTAGCTGCCCTATTAGTAGACGTAGCTAAGCGTATCACCCAAAACTTTGTTGGTAGTCAAATCAGGAGACAGACAGATACACTGTGTATTTGCAGCACATTATTTAGGGTTACTCTTGTAAATGGCCTGGGAAAGTTCTCGATAAGAACCTCTTGGGTGAGCACGGCATCAATACATCAGATAATAGTATTAACGAAAAAGCAAAGGCGTTTACTTATACCTGACTAGCACCTTTGGCCATCAATGACGTTTTCCCACAACCACTTTCACCATACAATACGAAAGGCTGGTGAGACGCATTCTTCCCCAAAATATAATCCTTGATTTTCTCTACCACCTCCTCGCGGCCCTGGAAAACCTTACAGAATTGCTGGCATGAATGCAGGTGCTGGAGCGGTTCTGAATATACTGGGTCGCTGGCTAACTTCTCATGCTTCGCCATGGCATTGTCAATAAGTCTTACCACATTATTATAGAAATGTTCACAGAACTGGTTAAAATATTCTCCATGGGATTCTGGATCGATTCCATCTTTCCCGCTCCATTCAACAGTAAATCTGAAATAAGGCCACATACTAGTAAATAAACAATTTTCCAATTAATTAGAAAAAAATATTCCAATTTAAAAATAATAATTATTCTATTTTCACGTTCCACTGGACTAACTCAAGTGCAATAAATTTGAATATCATCATAAAATTCACCGAATCGTGTAAATCCTGCAGTATATAGGAGTTATATGGAAGTAACAATTCCATTCAACCAAGATGAAATGTCTGAGATATTCTATTCCTCTGTTAAAATTGTTAATAATTTCCCGTTATTAAATACATGTATTCTAAAACTTTCCTACGATGATCAAAGCAACAGAAATTGATTGAAATACCCCCTACCCGTCCCTTTGATGTTCCCGTGAATAAGACAGACGCACATAAAGCGACTAACTAATCAAAAATCAGAAAAAGCCTTGGTATATATAATTCCAATCTTGAAATATATCAACAGACAACATCAGATTATAATCACAAAAGGTCAGTGAATTTAGGAATCCATAGAAATATCTTACATTAGTAAGCTTTTTTTCTCAAATACCTTACATAAAAAGACTTTCTTCCCAAATACATTACACCGGAAGGCGTTTTTTTCAAAATACCTTACACAAAAGGGCTTTCTCCTCAGCTATCTTACGCCAAAAGGCTTTCTTCCCAAAAACCTTATACCAAAAGGCTTTCTTCCCAAATACCTTACACTAAAAGGCCTTTTCCTCAACTACCTTACACTAGAAGGCTTTCTTCTCAACTATCTTACACCAAAAGGCTTTCCTTCCTTCTACTCTTCGGGGTTGGGATTATAATTGAACCCTATTAAACACTAACGTTGAATCTTTCAAATACATGCATCAAAAATTACGATCTTCAATAACTAAGTATCCAGATTATTACTGGAAAGATAATTGTCATCAAATAAACCAAACTACGTCATGGATGTAATTCATTATAAAATGATTTATTTCATATTAATGTGGTAAACGATCCTAAATGTTCTTGTGGTAATTTATAAAAAATGAAGAACATTATTTCCTCGCATTGGTATGATGCAATTCTTGTGGAACTATTTAATAGATATTTTAGTATTGGGTAACACAGAATGGTCAAATGAAATAAATACACAACTTTCACAAATTCATAAAACTTTTCAAAAGGTTTAAATGTTGTTTTTTTAATTGGAGGATACCATTTTCTTTAGTATCTCGTTTGTATTTTTAAGTTTGTCATCACGTTTCTTCATACTAAACTTGCGCTGTCTGTCTAAAACTAGCTCGCTTGAGAACATACACTAAACTGTATAGTTGACAGGAATTTGAGAATTATCTATTTCCCTTCCATTTAGTAAAATTGAAAATGTTTATTCAATCGTTGTGTGTATGACAGATGTGAAAGTAGATTGTTCTCTGTGTACAGAATGCACGTTTCCCCACCGACTGATAATCCAGAACATATTCTGCCTTGTAGATTAATTCTTAAATAAGAATTTATCTAACGTGGAAAATACTGTAATCGCCACACGAATTGTTTTTTTTTTTATATAGAACTGGTAAGTGTGTGAGACTTTACGAATATATCTAGTTTGTCTCTCTCAACAGAGTTCAGATTCTCTCGACCTTATATCGGAAGATTAAACAAGGAGACTACGCTAATCTAATTCATTTTATTTAAAATCCGTTTAATATTTGACAATAAAATATGCTGATAAATCAAAAAAAAACAAACATTGCTAAAATAAAATTACAAGAAAGTTTTGCTAACCTGAAAATAACGAGTTACAGCAAAATATATCCACGTCTGTATCTTGAACTATTGTTTGGCGACCATTTTATGATTTTGTGAATGAAAGAATTGCAAGGTGTGTTCGATCGTCCTTATCTTGAAATAATCAATTAAAACAACCATAGGCTGTTTGTTCCTGTTATAATATGTCTTAATCCTTGAATTATCAGATTGGCAGATAACCATCTGGTCTGGGTGATATTTCCCGGTAATTCTGTAAAGATGTCGAACATCAAAGCTCCCATTTCAGCTTAATTCTATAGATTTAGTGATAAGGTTACGAGTTATTGTCATTGCAGTGTGTTCTATATAAGAGCGATTTTCTATTTTATTTTTATATCATGGCTTCGAAGACTGTAAATTTAGCTATAGTGTCGACAGAGGGCAGGTCAGCCTATACTATCTGATAAGAGAAGTATCCAAAGATTAATGTACTTTATCAGGTTGTTTTAAAGAGTGTCAGCTGATTGTTCAGCACCTGCTGTTTATAGGTTAATTATTATCGATATCCACATCCGCTGTATGATATAATGATAAGATACCAGATTACGCACTTAGGATATTTATCTCTGAGGAGGTCCATGTGTATCTGATTCGATATTCAAATCCTAAATACCACTTTGAAGTTCATTGCCCGGGGATTTTTATTGTTTGGTCATTCATAATTCTCCAGATATAGCCCAACGCCCGCAAACCACCAATCCTTATCGTCATAAGATACAACTCCACAGACACCACACAAAAGGATTCAAATGTAATTCCCAGAGAGCCATTCAGCGCCTACAAAATACCCGATCAAAATCAGGATATCACCCGTTATGGAGGAGGAAGTTAAACGCTGCTACTAAGTCAACCGTAATCGACAGTACAGAATTGTATGAACCTACCTGGCCACGTTACTAGGCGGCAGCCGTTTTGGAATTTTATCATCCCGCAAAGATTTCAGAAACTTCTGCGCCTCGCCATCTAAATTCCTGGCTGCAAAATCAACAAATTTGCCAGCAAGTCGGAGAAGAGTGACGTTGATATTCGAAATATCTCGGATGTAAGCTAGACAATGATCTTCTGGATCAGGAGCTTTCAGACAACCTCTGACAATCTCTCTTTCTGTCACTGAAATTCATAAAAGAAAAGTTACTACATTTCAGAAGATGACCCCCGTCAAGACCGATCGCATCAAGTCTTGCTTGTAAATCGTTTTTTTTTTGTTTTTTTTTTCATTTTGAGTGAAGCCTGTATCGTTACAGCCTCGGGACTGCACAGCACAGTGGACGCTGATCTTATGTGTGTCTATTACATGCGGTGTCTGTGTATATTGTGTCCTATTCGTAAGTTTGTCTTGTGTAATTGTTTCTATGAACACCGTTTGGAAATTGCATCACTCCACACAATGGTCAGTAAAAGTCCCAGATTTGGGGCACTTCATTTTGCTGGATAGAATAATTCTCACATTTTTCCTTTCATATCCACTAAAATTTTATTTTTTTCATCATTTAGTCAGTGCCCGAAAAAGTCGATGATTGCCCGAAAAAAATTGGTGGATGTTATATTTTTCAAAATTCCAAACCCAACATGTATTCAAAACATACTGACAGGCACCCGAAGGCGTTTAGTCCTTATGTAAACGTCTAAGACGAGACATGGACCACATTCAACTTTGGGACATTCATACACGAAAACTAAATAATTTTCATTTTCTGATCAGTGCAAATTTTAGTTATAGTCTGCATTCTTAAGATATTTTTTGCTCTATACTACGCCACTGAAAGTGGCTGAAGTCGTTAGATATTTAGCTTTAGTCCATTAAAGGTTCAATTCTTAAGATATTTTATCTCTAGGCCATTCTTAAGATATTTAAATTTCTTGGTCATAACTGAAATCTATTTAAACAACTACTAAATGTTCAGTTTTCACCGCAAAAACAAATCCCAAAAATCTGTTCATTTCAGGGTATAGCGGATTAGGGATCAAGCCAAACGACACATCCAACTCCCTAAAAGATTTCGCTATATCAAAGCAACTTACCCGACATAAAGTAGTTATGCATTTGTTCTCTGTCGATTTTCTTTGTTATAAAAAGAACTTGGGCTGATTTGCGGATTATCCTCTGAAGTTTACTGAAAGTTTCCCACCACTGAGCTTGATCAATTTCTTGTAGTCTTTGGGATCGCTGAAATAAAAGGCCGGGTTAAACAGATTCCTTTTTTCATGGGCTAATGGGCTAAGTAGGTATTTTGCAAGATTCAAGTTATGTCAGTATCCATTTCTGGAAGGGGATTACTATCGTCCAGGCATCTGGTGCACAGATTAGTACAATTAAATAGAATAACGTTAACGTAAAACGGCACCGATACGAAACACTTACCCAAAAATGGTAATTGTCCCGCCCTAATAGCTGATGCATCTATACTTTCTCTTGGGGAACACCATACCCACAACCTCCTCGGCTTACAGGCCGAGGGAAATCATCATATAGTGGATAGGAAACTTATATTTAGCTTATATTTAATGTCATAGCTGTGTGTATAGTTTCCTGTATATAACCATTGTATTATGGATGTTATAAAGGTATAAAAAATATAGTTAAACCAACAAAGTGTTCCAGGGTCAATTGATCCTTGGAGTTTTATACACAACGTGATGTCAAAGTTGGTTCCTAATGGACTGTAGTGTCACAGCACGACATACATATACATGTACACCTCTACCAGGATAATTTAACTAACTTAGTGTGTGTGTTGGGGGGGGGGGGCAACACCAGATATACGTACTTGACAACCAGACTACCAGGCACATTGATTATCTACATCCCTGCTTACATTAGGGACATGGTTGAGTTTATTGTAGCAAAACAGAGATTCAAACAAGAATTGCAACAGACGTTACTAATAGGTACCGATGACATCTCTACATATCTTTCGCTTATTTTATTTTATATAAACTATAATTTGGCGGTTTTCTTATATTTAGATGTAAATCCCACTAAATGTATTTTCATACTTAAACAAAGAATCTTACCGAAGAGTGTCGTATTAAGTATTTAATCTAGGCATTCCACCCTTACGAATAAAAGCCGTATCGAAACGCAGAAACTCATCTTTCAGTTTAACAGATTGTGATGAATATCAAATAGCTCGCTGAAGGGAACTTACCTTGTTATTGAAGTTTGTAAGGATAGAACTGATTGGTTGAATTACGTATACTGGCGGTACGGAATTGTTGTCACGTCGGTACCATTCGTCTAATAAATTCAACTCACTCTGAACATTACGGGCACATTCACGTAACATTTCAAACTCTGATGCCAGTATATGGGTAGGTATTGGTCGATATCCATATTTCTGTCCAAGAAAAACCTAGATAAAGGGAAGATAGAAGGGATTTCAGGCGAAAAATGTTTAGTGGTGGTCTGCTGATTTTACTATTCGAATATTCCATTCAATTCAAGACACAAATTCTTGGGCTGACTTCGATATATTCAGATCATATTTCATTACTATTCGAGTATTCGTTTATTTGTACTTTTACAAGTACTAATATTGTCGGGGGGGGGGGGGTGCATGGCCGAATGGTTAGCGCGCGTGCGCTGTTGTTTAGACTCTCCGGTTATACGTTACAAGGGGTAGGGTCCAACCTCGTGGGTTTTCTCCCGGTCCTCCGGTTTCCTCCCACTGCTAAAGACCCCTACGCGCAAGCGTATTATTGAAATAAAGTTGAACCATATGTTGGTCCCGAAATGAACTAGTTTGTGTCGAGAGAACGTTAAACCCCATTTCTCTCTCTCTCTCTCTCTCTCTCTTTCTCTCACACACATACAATACAAATAAAATTTATGTTAGATCGGTAAATAAATAAACATGGCTGATCAAGAGAGGTAACATTCGTCCACCAACAGCTTCGTCTTCCGCGCCGTTATAAGAATCGTCATCCCCTGACCTTATTATTCCTGAAAATCTGGCAAAGTGAGTACCATTGCTGTAATTTACGTTTATGAGTTGGGAGCCACGGTGGCTGGATGAGTAAGGTTTAGACTCACTGACCAGGACCTCTCATTTTTGATCCCGGTGTTGGCCAAGAAAGTTTCTGTAGAGTTAAGTACACGACAAATTGACAGAGTTCTTTACGTGCGTGCACGTCGACGAGTAAAGAGCTGGACTTTAATTCCACATTTCATTCGAACAACTTGATCACTGACACAGGGAATACCAGGATGGAGAATCACTAAGAACTTTCTCAGCCAACACACCCTGGTTAGCGAGCCAGTGACATACTCGCTGAGCTGTGATTAATTACAGAGATTGCGTGATATGGAATTATTGCGATTAGACAGCTGGTGGTTACGTGGTCAACTAGAGCGTGGTATCATGGATGCCAATCAGGTGTCATGATAATTTTACCCATTAAATATAATCAAGGTATCAAATTTGACTTTCGGCGAAGGAAATAAGATAAATTCGACAAAACGTGGATAACTGTCGATCTGACCATTTATAGACCTACTGTTATTTTACCGCTATTAGATAATTACTGTAGCCTGTTACGTTTAAATTACAACAACGTTAAATTGAGTAGAAATCTGACACTGAAAGATAATTCTACCATATAATTGTTGATGGTTTAAAGAAAGAACAAGCAAGTATCCCTTACAGACCAACTGTAACTATGCCAAAACAAAATTTATACTAATGGACGTTAAACCCCATTTCATTTCATTTCATTTCGGAAGGACGAGACGCCCGATACCACCAGGTTACCAAGCCTGTGCCTTCCTCACTGAGCCACCGCGGCCCCACCCGCTATGACGGACTCATGGCACCGTGGGAATGTTGGTGCTGTGAATGCGACATATTCACGGAGTAAGTATCCCTATAGGATTTGATGTGTGTTTTTCCGAGTTGAATTGGCATCTATAAGTCTAAATGTTTATAGAACGTAACTGCTTCCAGTGCTTTTCACGGCGATAGGAGATATCATTTCCGATAAATTGGCTAAAATCAAGGTGTTGAAAAAATGTCCAATTTTCAATTTATTCAACGAGATCCATCGATCTTTCCTTTTATTACAATTAAATAATAGAACGACAGTAAATCAATATGGCCGCCAATAAAAACCAATTTCATTTAATCACCCTGGCCACTTGAAGCCAATTCCATATCACTACGCTGTAGGTGGAAGCGGAAGTGCTCGTTGCTAACCAAATTATTAAACAATAAAGTCACTAAACTTGTTAATCGCGTCAAAGGGCAAAATACTTGAAATGGCATTACGCCTAAAGGACTGGACGATGCAATAGCGTTATATTCCCTTATCAAAGGCGTTTAGTTCTGATAAAAAAAATAACCATTGTATGCCTATGATTAACATATTAGGACAATTAATTCCCAATGTATCATTCATAATATCAAATTGCCTTATTTTGCTCTAAAGGTAATCAACCATGCCATTAAATAAAGGAAATACAATTAGTTTGTCTCTTCAGGTAAAACGTACAATCAATGACTAGAAATCCATACAGATTAAATGGGAATTAATGGCATATCAAATCCAGCTTATTGCGCATTCTTTGACAACAACAAGACTCCACACAACAAAAGTTCAAAACAGAATTTGCCAACCAATTTAATCTCTAGTGAATTAACAAGAAACAACATGGTGCAATTTCTACCAACGCAGTTGCATTTTCTAAAAGGTGCAGGAACAAAAACCGAAAAGTTACCTATGTATAGGCCTATAAGGCCATATATATTCCTGAGAAATCTTGAAGTTTATGGAGTTTAATAATCAAAGATAGCCTAAAAAACAGATACCGACAACTGTCGTTGAACCGAGTGTTTATGTCGAATTCGTGCAGGTGGTTAAAATTTCTTAATACTAATAATAACATAGTTTGTCAACTTTGTCACCCGGGCCGAAAATAAATGTCACATTATCACTTTTTGTTAATACGAGCTACATTGTAGTATTTATAACGTTAACACGGATTAGTTATAAGAAGGGGCATAGTCCCGACAGAGCGTTGAAAAACCATTGAAAATCAGTAGGATAATCCTCTTACACTACCAAGCAACATATTCAATACTATGACTTTTGGGTATAACTATACCCCACCACTCCTCCCCCAAACCCGCTAACTCTCACATCAGTTAAATGGATAGCTGTTATACATACGGATGCAGGGCGGAGGGGCTGATAAGGAAAGCTGTCTAGTCGTTCGGATGGGACGAAAAACCGAGGTCCCGTGTACACATTGGCGTGCACGTAAAAGATCTCTTGGCAGTTGGAATTCGATATAAGAGTAGGCCGTAGTGCCGCTGTCCGGGCATAATTTCCCTCATAGCACACTGTATGGCGTATGCCCGTCTTCATTAGCCCAGGTTAGGAGCAGAACAGTAGGACGTTAAACTCCATTTCATTTCATTTCATTTCGTTATACATACGTACCACGAAATTTGGTCCAACAGACAGTCTCTGACAATTATCTATTTCCTGCATACATAGATGAGTAGTCATATGGTCATCTGTAGCTTCATCTCTTACTCCCCATCTCATATCAACCACCTGTACAAAAATAAACAATATACAATTTAACACAGACATACACAGATATCAAATTCTGTGACCTTTTAGAAACACAGTTGATGCCCGATCATGATAATGTTTTGGAAATGTACCCGCTTTCGAGTTTTGCGTTTGTGGATTGTTTCCTTTGTTGTGCGGTTGTTTTCATTTTGGTTGAAACCAGTATCACTATTGTACGCCTAACATCCACCCCTGGGATCCATTCAGTTTATTTGATAGCAATTTGATTTTTTTATCATATGCAATGTCAGTGTTTGTTGTGTATTGTCCGCCTGTTTGTCTTCTAGGTTTTTGTCTGTTTGTGCCTGGTTCGATATTCTCCTACACCTAACATTACAGCTATCACATGGTTTCATTGATAAATACCCGATTTGCTACTCTGAAATTGGTTTCATCGAACACAGCCTGAAAGCGTGAAAATAAAATCTCAAAACGATTCCTGTATGGTATGACCAATAACTCGCGAATAATTCTCGGACTTGCCGAGATTTCTGATTATGACCAATTTGATTAAAATATAGATCTATGTCAGAGGTCGTACGCGCGGCTATAGAAATCGAAACGAAATAGAATCTGTGTTTTAATCAGATTGGATTATGGCAATTGTACACTACGATCTTTAGAACAATTAGAAGTATTCAATGACATAAATATCGAATAATAACTCACTGCATTGCTAATAAGACAGTGTGGACCGACTATATATAATGTGGACAAGATACGAAAACTGTGATAGCATTAATAAGGGGCCTATATTAAGGGGTAAATCTCGCGAACCGAAATTTTATCAAACTGATGTGAACTTTTATGTAGATCTATTCATTTCCTATTTCAAATTTAGGGATGCCATTGTGCAACAGGAATGTTCTGGATACATGAGGACCTAGAACGTTTTTATAAACATGTTAAAATCTCATATTGCACTGGTGCTATTCCAGCTGAAAGATATGTCATTTTAGTTGTTGATGTTGTAGCAACCTTGTTACCAAGGTAAACAAATGGAAGTATGTTATCAACAATGTGGTATCAGTTATGATACGGAACTCAACCCTCAACGTCACCCAGAGAATAAACATCCCCCACAGTGTTATTCAGTCACCAATCTGATAACATCATCAACTCTTCATACGGTACTTGATGTATTCCATTTTAAAGGAGAGAGAGAGAGAAATGGGGTTTAACGTCCACTCGACACAAACTAGGTTATTTCGGGACTAACATATGGTTTAATTTTATTTCAATAATTCGTTGCGCGTTGGGATCTTTAGCAGTGGGAGGAAACCGGAGGACCCGGAGAAAACCCACGAGGTTGGACAGGCGACCCTACTCCTTGTCACGTACAACCGAGGATTCGAAACCACGCCAGTCGACTCAATGACAGACTTTATGATACAGCGCGCGCACGCTAACCATTCAGCCATCCAACCCCCCACCATTTAAAGGAGAAACAAATGAAATGAAATGAAATAGGGTTTAACGTCCTACTTTTTCGCCTCAACCGGGCGAATGAAAACAGACATATCAAATGAATTGTGCTATAAGGAAAATGAAATGAAATAGGGTATAACGTCCTACTGTTCTGCTCCGAACTGGGTTAATGAAGACGAGCATACGTGATACAGTGTGCTATGATGGAAATTTTGCCCAGACAGCGGCACTACGGCCTACATTTATATCGAATTCCAACTGTCAAGGGATCTTTTTATGCGCACGCCAAATGTGTACACGGGACCTCGGTTCTTTGTCCCTACCGAACGACTAGATAGCTGTCCTTGTCAGGCCCTCCGTCCTGCATCACTCACAAGGGGGGACCAGGCCGGTAAATCTGGATGAACTTTCTCGGCCAATGCAGGGACAGAACACGCGACCTCCAGGCTAGCGAGCCAGCGTCTTACCCACTTAAACACCGTGACCCCCGTGCTATGAGGCAACTATTGCCTGGACAGCGCCCTTTCCCCGTACTCTTTGTCCAATTCCAACTGCCAAGGGTTCTTTACGTCTACGCCAACATAGACATATATGCGACCTAGGTTTTTCGTCCCATCCGAACGACTATACGACGTTCCTTGCCAGACAATACAATTACGGTTAGTGGTAAGAAGAAATATCGATTACAGTTCCTGGTCCGTCTATAGATTAGGGCCAATACTGGCTAGGCTACACTTTACTTTATCCATTAATTGACGTCTACAGTGCAACTTCTGTGATGGTTTTTTTTTTTCATTTTCGCCTGAAGGGTCCCATGCGACCACTTTCCTTAATTTTACAAAAGTAGGGACTGTCAGGTGTTCTTAATAGATATCTATTTCGACAATTAAAATAATAGACTTAGGTCAGATACCATCTTGGTCTAGCGATGGTCGTGGGCAGAAATGAATTATCGTTTCTACACTGACAGATCGTTAACAGAAATTAAAGATGTCAGCAATATATCAGTCGATAGTAATGTGAACTTTAAATTGTCTTAACTTATGTTAGGGCTGTTTTTAGGCCAATACGCTTTTTTGGTAAGACTAACTTTTATTATATATGATATGGTCCAAAAGTCTATATTTGTCGTATATTCTGACATCTTGGATCTTTAATGGAGCAACTGATGAAATTGCGTACGAGGAACATATTATTACTATCATGACATGTGATAATATCAACTGATTATATCGTTAACAGAATAAACATCCCCCGCAGTTATAATGTCAACTAGATGATTCAGTGGTTGGGAATATATCGTCTGGTCTAGACGATGACACAGTGCTGTGTTCGTTTAATTTGAATGATATATATTGCATTCTAACAATTGTTCTATTGTCTTCTGTTGTCCCATCGGATTTATTACGTACCAAGAAATTACATCACATAACAACTTGATAAACTCTTTTTTAAATGAATACAAGAATGTTTGGGTCGCGTGGTAAAGGAACGGGTCTCTCAACTAGAATATACCTTTGAATTGTCAAGCTCGATTCCCACGTGTCAGGGGCAGCGCCTAACGGTGTGGCAAGTACAATGTTGCCCAGCCGTACGGACGGGACGAAAACCCGATACAAGAAGAACAATCTGACAGCAGATGTAATAATTAAAAGAAAAACCGGAACATAGAACAGATGAACTATGGGATATCGCGAATGGCGTTACACACGGTTCCGTACTAGGACCCTTCATCTTTCTGTATGTTTATGACCGTTTTCCCCAAGCATTACAACCGGCCAAAATCCTCCACACAAATAACTCGTAATTATACTTTTGTACTAGAAGTTAAGATGGGTACCTACCTGAAATTCTAATCCATGGCGTTCCCGACAGAATTCCTTCAACTGTGGATATACTTTCTCCATTAAACAATTTCTTTCTAAAGTTGTATCTGATATATGTAAATAAAGAAGATATAACTCTATTAATTGGTGTTCTATACTCAGCTGGTATCATTAATACACGGAAGCACTTTTTGTTATGCTTTTTTTAAATTCAATTTTATGTTGAAACACTAATTATTTATATTACGTTGATAATAAATCTTCTACTGTACATCGATTGCTAATTTGTGATGGCAAAGTAGAACCCTGGCCACAAACTTCGAGATAAAAAACAACAACAGAGAAGCATATATGGCATCAAATATTGCATATAAATAAAAACTTGTACATGTTCTCAACTTAGTTTTACATATAATCTTTAATATTCTGCGTCGTAATAACCTCATCATATGTTAATATGTAACGTCATGTACTGTTGTTTCATGTCCTTGCTCTAGGTTAATATTTCGTGTCATAACCTCGTTGCAAGTAAATATGTGGCATATTAAACTTGTCCCAGATTATTATGTGGCATAACAACCTTGTGCCAGGTTAATATGTGATATAATAATATTGTATGTGGCATAATACCCTTGTCCCAAATTAATATGTGGTATAATAACCTTGTCCCAGATAAATATGTGGCATAACAAGCTAGTTTCAGAATAATATGGGGCGTAATAACCTTGTACTAATAATTTCGTCCCAGATTAACAATCTAGTTCTCGCCTCTGGGAATTAGATTGCCATTGATATATTGAAATTTAGTGATGGTACCTTCTGCGTGTACTACAATTTATTAAATATTACATACTGTTGTTATATGTTTGTTGAACAGGTTGGCTTTAATATAGGGATTAGTTTGATAAAACAAAATATGGAAACTATTAACATATGGTGAAAACCATTCATCGATTTCCTGTCGGATTTTATGTGGATTTTTTAAAAAAAAAACAAATATTAAGAAATAAAAAAATAGAACTAAGTTATCTAGAAGTAAGTGTAATATCAATATAAGGACAAGCACGTGCACGAAATGTGTGATTAATTAGTTTATTATCGTTACCATGGTGATATAAATAGATAGTAAATATTGTTTATCTTTATATCGCCTCAAACTAACAACCGGTTATCAATAAATAAACAAGGGGGCATAGTAATTTCTACACCGAATTAATTACAAATCTACGCACTGGCGTACAAAAGAACTATATTAACCGAAATATTGCTTAAATTCATCTTTAATTAGGATAATGGAACTAAAACAACTAGTGTCGGATCAATTCATTTGATTTGATAATTGTTGTTTATTTCTTGTAATGTCTGTGTAGTTTGTCTTGTCCATAGGTTTGTCTTATCGGTTTTATTTTTCGTGTAGCACGGTTCTCCTGTACTTACTCTAGCCTGTGTATGTGGCGTGTGTTTATTATTAGTTAGTAAGACGTGGCTCATCCTTGTCAGTGGTACAGGACAGATAGGGCCTGACAAGGGACAACGTATAGTGATGTGACGAAATCCCAATGTCCCGTGTACACATTGGCGTACGCGTAAAACATCCCTTAACAGTTGTAATTCGACATAAGAGTAGGTCGTAGCGCCGCTGTCCGGGCACAGTTTCCCTCATAGCACACTGTATGGCGTGTCCCCGTCATCATTAGCCCAGTCGCAGCAGAACAGTAGGACGTTAAACCTCATTTTATTTCATTTCATTTCGTTTATTATTATCAACACCATTCTTTTGGCCAGCACCATACCCACCAACAGAACCTCCATGTACAGAGGACCAACATGTCTAGAGTATATCACAAGTTTACTATGAACCGCGTTTGGTATTAAAGGTTGCATCCTTAAAATATCTTTATGACATCCGATAGTAAGTACACGGAGACCATACCACACACAACAATCAACCAGAATCCGACTGAACAAACACACGGATATTGTAAGCCGTTAGAAAACTATATAGTGAACTGATCCTGGACGGCACTAAGCGTCCGATGCGCTGTACAACTATGAGCTGTTATTGTTTCATCTTAAGAAACATTGTGAAGGTGGTTGAACCTAATTATTAGCAGCAGGAAATGAAAGAATGTGTATCTTGTACATGTTAAATAACATTTGGAGTATTCTATCCGGACAATAATCCAACAACTACAGAAGCAAATCAAATCGTTCCTCATTCTTTCAGATATCACAATATTACAAGCATCTTAAAATTGTGTTTTTATCTTTTTTTTCCTTACGTACATTTGCATTTTTGTATTCGAAAAATATGTTTAAAACCTACATACTGACGGCATTATAAAAAGAAAGGTGTTAAACGTGAAGCTAACTTACCTGTAAAAGTGGAACTTGTAAAAATCCTGACAATTCTGGAACTTAATGGCGGAAGGTTGTCTAAATGGCCGAATAGAACTTTCTCCAGTCTTTCCTTCGCTTCATCCTCGGCTTCCACAGAAACGCTGTCCGATACTTCAGCCTCTAAAACATCGCACACTTCTCCATGTTCTCTCATTTTGTATAAACTATTAATTTTATTTACGACATAACTCCCTTTGGCACTCACAAAAGTAATATTTGATGTTGAAATTCAAAACTATTTGTAGATTGTTTGAATAGTTTGCCCAGGGTAAGCTTCACGCATTAACAAGAGTTGGTTTGTCATAAAGACACAAACATCTCAACCAATTTTTATAATCACAATCCTGTCTGTTGGCTGTAAATTGTAACGTCCATTATTTAATGTGTTGCAGTCACAGTTTTGAATAAAGTTAAGAGATAAAGCAACGCATGACCACAATAAAAATAAATGGTTATGATTTTAAAAAGATATAATATCTCAACCCATTATTGTATCGCCGTTTTTCTTTTAGTATTTATTTTACAATATCACGTCCAAATCTGTTCCTGGTCTGTCTCTGCTAAAATACCCTGACAAATAATTTTACGGCATTTTCACAAAAACAAGTCCAAATTCATATAGCACAAACCAAAGACTAGTTTCAGTTTCTCGATCAAATAAATCCACATTATTTGCAAACTTCGATCATTCCTAATCTGTACCTGAAAGACATAAATAATGTCCACATAAAATAATGTCCATATTCAACATTATTACTCTAAATCCAATAATCCGTTAATCCATTTAATCTCACGAAATCAATAATCTTGATTTGCAAGCCATTAACAACTTGATAATCATTCCTCAATCAAATATAATACTCTAAGGTAACACGTTATTTGCTTCGTAAGATCTGTGCAGTTACGATTAGATTAAATCACATTTCAGATATGCTTTCTCGCCTTGGAACCCTTGATACCACTTCCCATTTAAATGTGATTTAATGTGATGTGGAGTTACGATTGGATCAAATCACATTTTAGATAAAGCTTCTCATCTTGGAACCCCTGATACCACTTCCCATTTAAATGTTTTTGCACGTGGTGTATCTTATATCTGAACCACTGGTTTGGTAAGTTTACTCGTGACTATTACACCGGGGTTTGTCTTCTACTCAATAGATTTGACGTCCGAATTGAAATGAAATGAAATGGGGGTTAATATCTTATTTTTCTGCATCAGTCGGGCGAGTTCTGAATAGAGGCGGGTGATGTGCGGCGCGATGTAGATTATTATGTTCATTATCAAATCTACAAAGAAGAATTTATAATCTCCTTGTACATTCTTGGATAACCGTGTACATATTTTCATTAAACCAAATAGCAAATTAAATCCGGAATTACCCTTTAGGTCCGACCAGACATTTCGCTTAAAACAGTCACTACGGTTAAAATAATATAACTTACCTTGGATGGCAGTTTCAAAATGTCTTTCCGTCTTTTTTAAATTACTTTAAGTCAGTGGTTATCGTTTTACAGATCTTTTCCTAAGAATGGATGGATGGATTCTCGGCTGTTGGGTTACTAACTTTCATAATTTCTAATTAGTACCAATATTTTATAGTTCCGGTTCCGCTGCGAAATGCAAACAATCGTTTTTCAACTTTCTGATAAAACGTATCCCGTATATTTCAGATGTCACTTGTGGTAAATCTCTCTCCTCTTCCACGAAATAGCGAACCACAATTTTGTCCCCATGTGTATTGTTTGTTTAATATTAATAATGTTATCTTCGTGAACAGTCAAGTAACAAACTTCACATATCTCTTAAAACTCACCTACAGGGTTTTTGATCACATTATATCTGTATCTCGGTGTCGACGACCACGATAGTCGTGTTTTTACTGATATATCCATTCTGATGTTCTGATACCAACCAGCTTTGTAACTGACTATAGATTATTTGAACGTTTTCCAATAAGTTCCAGTCTTGCCTTAAACATTATTGTTATAATTAATATCACCACGGCGGTTTCTGACTAATGGTCGTATCTTTTCACGACCGTTAACAGATAAAGACTTCCATAATAAACCCGTTTACTTGCCGTTAATAGCCAATTAATGTTTGTCTTAATCGTTATATACAGAGTGACTGTCTTTAAAGGTGCACATTGACTTTGATTTCGGGTTTGTAAGTGACCAGGGTGCGGTGGAATGCCTAATATCCTGGGGTTTTCTCTGGGTACTCTGGTTTTCAGACACGGCTAAACACTTCAGTTGATATCATCCGGTAGTATTGAGTGGTCTTTAAAACTCACAGATTTAATCTCAATATGAGGAAAATATTGTGTGGACGAGGCTGTGAACGCCATTATCCAAAATATTTTTGTCACAAGCACATCTAAATTATAAAATTTGATTGGCAAACGTCTTTGGCTTTACTATTAGGGAAATCAGACAATTATCTGGTTAGAATGTGTTAAGACAGTACTTGTTTGCTGATTCATTAGACTGTGTTACAAATATTAACTATTTCATAGCATTTATATATCACCTTGTTAATTAGCCTATTTCTAGAGGGAATCAGTGGTTTTCTCTCGTATTTTAAACTTTTCAGGACCCCCACGTTAAAATCTAGCCCCACAACCATATCCGCCAAACCCCTAAAATAGTGCTTAAAAGAGATGTTCCGTCTGTCCCTATATTCTAATAAAAGATATATGATTAAAGCTACTCGGATCAATTTTAAAAAAAAAAACAATAGTGACGTCATTGATAGAACTAAAATCTTTAAAGTGACACCCCCAAGCCTGAAAATGGCGATGTTTTTAGCACATCGGTCAAATTGGTTTATTTTCTATCCTTTCCAATTGATACAACTGCTAGTTCCTCCCGTGAACGCAATCTTTGGTTGAGTATGATGTGACGTTTGTTGTAAGTCTAGAAGCTTTTATCAAACTATTGTTAGAATATAGAATGTGTGTCCTTTAACGTCCGCTTGCACACAGGACTAACATTTGATCCTTTAAAACTCGTATATTGTCGGCTCTTAAAGTGTCAAGGAGATTAGGGGATTAACATTTCCACGTGTCGGATTAACTAATCGGGATCAATAGATTAACGAAAGGTATCAAAAATATGTAGACGGTGGTTAGTGAGTGAAATGAAATAACATGTAAAAGTCTGCCCTGTCGTTGAGAAATGAAATGAAATGTGGGTTAACGTCCTACTGTTCTGCTCTGACGGTGCTAATGCAGACGGGTATAAGCCATACAATGTGCTATAAGGGACATTAATTTTGCCCGGATAGCGGCGATACGGTCTACTCTCATATTGGATTCCAACTGCTAAGAGATCTTTTACGTGCACACCAATGTATACTCGGGACTTCGGTTTCTCGTCCCACCAGAACGACTAGACAACTGCCCTTGCCTTTCTCGGGAGCGAGCCCGCGACCTCCAGAGTAGGCCATATCTTAGAGCGAAAATTATCAATAATTTCTTCATCTACATCGTCTCGGAGGTTCCATATGCATATCTCCAGCATATCTTTAATTGTCCAGTGCGACGGACGTAGTGCGCCACCCGCGAAGGGTGAGGGTGTCGACTGAGAGTCATCCCACATTAAATTTTGAAACATCAATGTCGTATTCTGACGGATATCTTGGGTAAAAGAAATCATGTTTGCCATCTTGAAAAAAAAAGTCATTTCCTTAGTGGTATACCGCTTCCTGTCCATTGCAGTGCAACAGATCAGAATTGACCGATTTTTGTAATTAGTCGGAGCAAAAGCAGATCTCCGACAGCGCAAGGTTGATGATGTCCGTTCTAGTCCCGTTATGATAAAAAAAGACCTGACCACTCGAGAATGAGGAAACATGGTGAAGCATTATTACTATTACAAATTATAAATGAGATGACAATACCGAGCCTACCCGGGCCTACTCTGTTGTGGAAGAAAAAATAACTATATAGGCCGGGCCTACCCTCCAAACACCCTGTTGAAAACCGATATTCCTTCCCCTCTATGGAAAGACCCATAACTGCTTTGGGTACGATAAGTAGAGGAAAAACGTTGTGGGGACAGCTGTTATATTTCGTTTAAATTTTTCGCATTCAGAACTGATTTTCCTAGATAAAATATATAAAATATTGCACACAAAAGAGCCTTGTAAAAACTGAAGTCCTATATGTCTGTTTAGACAAATGAATTCATATATCAATACTATAGGTACTGGGTTTACTGTCGGGGATAACACCCAGTAAATCGAATTGATAGTTTAACTTAATTTAAAAGAATTCCCAAGATGAATTACGAATGGTGTGTTCTTTCCCCCCCCCCCCAAGGAAAATTTACATTTCGAAGCCGGGCGTCAGGGTTGGGCTTGATCACACCCTTCGCCTAAGCAGGTGGGTAGGTCTCGAACCACTGTAGCACCCCTTGTCCTCATTCTGCCTATGCCACAGCACACACAGCCCTTAATACTGAAACTTAATCAATAACAACTAATGATCATTGATGTAACATAACATGATTAGTTTCAATTTATTTAAAGGAGCACACAGGTACCTGTACCGGGTAAAACATATTCTTAATTTATAAAGGAATAAAAATACTTGATATTACACATGTAAATCATACCCTTTAACAAAGCATATACATCATATAGATTAGACAATATTTCTTCAATTTATTAAACCTCAGCCTCTAATGTTAAATTTTAAAGGTTTATAAAAGAGCTCTTAATTCAGCTATGTTTATCAGTCATGACTGGCAGTTGGGCAAATTGACCAACTGGGTAATTTAAATGTCGGACAATTAATTTAAATGCTATTAGGTGAGAACTTAAGGTTAAACCACAATAAATATAATCAAATTTATAGTTTTTATGTGTCAGAACTTTAAAATTGATTTATAAACAGAGATAAGACAAACATTTCATATTCGTTGATAAAAATATCTGGTTAATCAGAGATAAACAAATTAAAATACACAAAAAAATTAACTTGTGAAAGCACTTTGAAATGAGCATCAGTCTTAAAAGGATGTGCTTAGTTCAGTTTGGCCCCAGAAACCTTAAGCAATATGGACAGCTGCTTTACTAGTAAAATACAAACACTTTAGGGTTAATTTTCATAGAACACGGCTATTCATTGGAAAGAAACACATTATAAAATCTAGTTCTCGATTGCGTGAACATAAATGCAATATTAACACTCTTTTTCGTAGATAAACTCCAAGTCAATGATGAAATAAATCCTTACTATGAGCACTTTTAGTGGAATTCGGATCGATATATACAGTAAATGGATGGAAAAATTCTTGCTACACAGCAGGCAAGTTTGGATCTCAGTGAATATGATACATTTGGGATAAAAAGGTTCAATTCCTCTGAAAATAACCCATATAAATTAAATAATAGTTTAATCCAGGTAATAAAGAGAGGTTGATTGAAACATCTTTGTCAAGTCTGTTGGCCAGGGATTACTAACTATGGGAAATTTGCTTGTAGATGATAAATTTACGACTAGATAAATCAACCTTCTATTAGAATTATTTTAAATACTTTCTCATTTACTTTGATTTAAAAGTTTTACAAATAAACTGAAGGCCAGTTGCCTGAAAATAAAGCCTAATTTAAGGTAAAAGCATGATGTTACTTTCCGTTTTTGAATTTTCGTTTTTGTTTTCTTAATTAAATATCAAATAATCAATCTGAATAATTATTAGTCTGGAATAAGTTGTGAAAGATGAGATATTGTCAAAAAAAAAAGGAAATGATGATCGGCGAGTTTAAAATCCAACCCAGGTTGTTCTGTATATATTCAGATAGTTTATTCACATCTATCAGGATGTACCCATTGATCTAAAGCTCTCCCTAGTTTTGCTTTCACTTCCTCTGTAGCATCAGATAACTCCTTCACAACAGACTGAAAAAAACCCAAATAAATAAATGAAGATTGTTACATAAAAATGAAGCACACTTGATACTAAACATTAAACAAAATTCTAATTTCAATGGACAAACTCAGCAAAATTAAGGAACAGCAACTCAGAACAGTCATCTGAGAAAAATCCTACCATTGAGATTGGTATGTTTGTCAAATAACCCTGGTTAACTCTTTTTAACCAGAACCATGGAAACCACCTGAAACTACTACTCCTCAGAACTACTACCAACCAGACCGCCTCAAACTCCAGGATTCACCTGAAACTACTGCTCATCAGAACTACTACCAACTATATATATATATAGACCACCTCAAAATGGGGAAACCACCTAAAACTACTGCTCCTCAGAAATACTACTAACTAGACTGCCTCAAAATCCGGAATTCACCTGAAACTACTGCTCCTCAGAAATACTAACAACTAGAACACTAAACTCCGGAAACCACCTGAAACTACTGTCATTCAGAACTACTACCAACTAGACCACCTCAAGCCACCTCAATAGATGTGAACTATTTAAGGACCCTATCTATACTAGTTCTGTGACTCAGGACATTTGAGGTGGTCTAGGGAGTAGCAGTTCTGGGCAGGAACTGGGGTAGTCAATGCTTACATGTACCAGGTGCTAATTACAGGCGCCTGTAACATGGAAAATATTTCAAAAATAACATTAAGCTATGACTAAGAATAATCTCCAAAGTCTGTTACTTCCATGTTCTTAAGCAAGATTATCAACTGGTCTGATTCCTCCGTTTTCTAACTCAGGGGCAAATAACTCGTCTGAAACCGGTTCTCTTTCAGTAGATATAACAGGTTGGAGTAAAATAATTGCGATTAAAGTTCACTACCCTAGATTCCGTCAACCAGTGGCAATAATTACTAATTTTCGCTGGTTAGACAATTGAGGCTACGATGACGTTTTAAAATTATCAAGCCATTTGGAAATGTTCGCCAAATTAGGCTACTTTAACAGTATTAACAAACTCAAATAAGTATTGCTTCTCCAATGCATGACGGCATCCATGTAGATTTATTAACAAGCATATTGCAGGGTATAGGCTTATACTGTTGCTCCTCAGGGACAGATACAGAGCGGGCTATAGGGGTCCAACCAACCACAGTACGATTTGAACAAGTCATGCACAGAAAATACAGGTAATTTCAATCTTGTTTAAAGTTGAAGAATAAGATAAGAAATTAAAGGTATTGAATACTTACATCAGAAAGTTTTATAATTTTACTATTGGCAACCACCTGTTCTGGATTCTTGGCACCAACAATTACAACGGGTACTGCATCTTGTTGTAACAGCCAGGCTATTGAAGCTTGTGCCATGTTAATATTTTCACGAGCACAGATAGCCTTTATTCTATTGACAGCCTGAAGATGAGAAACATTTTGTTATGGCCACACAAATTTAATGTTTGTTTTTCTGGAATATCTATCAACAATTTTGCTTCCTATTTATGTGGGGGAGGAAGGGAGATGGGGGGGGGGGGGCTAATTTAAAACAAAAACAGCCTGGTTGCTCTTCTCAAAAGCTATTATTTCCAACTGTTTAAGTTTTGAAATTTTAAACGAAACATGGTTCCCAAGATTTAAGTGACTTTTTATTTATTAAGCCCTGGAATATAATAAAAATTAAATTGGTTTAGCCTAACAGAAACGTATGAGAAGTTATATCAGTTGCTCTACAAAAAGTAAGCATATACCCTGTAATGGGTAGAACAATCAGGCTGAAAACAGATCCAGTGCTTTAAACAATTAATGTATACAATCATCGTACTCAGAGAGCAAGAGTCATTAACTGGTTGGTAAAAATATAATTTTTAATTTGCTTTGATGTACAATATACACATCAGATTCTGTCAATCAACTACTGGGACAGAGAGGTGTGAAGATTCATTATAGTGGTTTTCACAGAGTTCAGTGGAGAGACAGAGAGAGAGGGAGGGTTTAATGTTCACTCGACAGAAACCAGGTCATTTCGGGACCAACACATGGTTCAATTTTATTTCAATAATTCACTTGCGTGTAGGGGTCTTTAGTAGTGGGAGGAAACCGGAGGGCCCAGAGAAAATCTACGAGGTTGGACAGGCGACCCTACTCCTTGTCACGTACAACCAGGGAATCGAAACCACGCCAATGACAGACCTGTTGATGCAGCCCGACGCACTAACCATTCAGCTATCCAACCCCCATGAAATTTACAACAGGTAACAGGCATTCTAGAAGAGTAATTAACTTACTAACCATTGTTTAAAATATTGTCATATTCACAAAGGCTTTAATCAAAATTTACCTCAAAAACTTCTTTTTCACATCCTGGTAGACCATGACGAGCTGGAGAATCACTGAATGTAGAAATAATCACATATCAAGTAAACCATATTAACGGTAACAATTTAGTGAAAAATACTAATACCCTCCAATTCTTATACCTAGCCCAGAATACCAATTAGATGAATTTTCCGTATGGAAATGACCTGTCCAACTGGTCTGATCTCATCCCCAACTAGTCTGATCTCATCCCCAACTGGTCTGATCTCATTCCCACCTGGCCTGATCTTATCCCCAACTGACCTGAACTCCCTAACTGGCTTGAAATCATCCCCGGTTGAATTGAACTCCCTAACTGGCCGGATCTCATCCCTAAGTGGCCCAAAAGTTGATATCCCCATACCTTTTTTGATGTAACCGTTTCAATTTCTTAATCCCTAGAAATGCAACAGCAAATAAAAAATTAAATTCAAACATACCCAACATCAGCGAATAGTTTGCCTCGTCGTCTGCCAACAGGTATATCATCTATAGAATTAAATCGTCCACTCAGTAAACCTTGTTGTAAGGGGGAGTAAGCCAAGATACTAATACCACGTTCCTTACAGATTGGCTGCACATCATATTCTACAGATCTCCATAATAAATTATAACCCATCTGAAACATTAGAAAAATCCTACCCTTATATGTGTAATTTAAACAGCAAAGAATATCAACTTTTGTTTGATATTCTGTGACAAAGGATTCTATATAAATTTTGTTTAAAATTAAATCTTTGCATACAAATCAAATCTTAAATAGAAAATGGATTATCAGAAATGGTGGATGGGGTGATTTAGAAAATTCAGAGAGAGAGAGAAATGGGGTTTAACGTCCACTCGACACATACTGGGTCATTTCGGGACTAACATATGGTTTAATTTTATTTCAATAATTCGCTTGCGCGTAGGGGTCTTTAGCAGTGGGAGGAAACCGGAGGACTCAGCGAAAACCCACGAGGAGAAACTTCAGAAGTCACTGACTGAATTCCAAGTTTACTATGAAGTTTATCCGATTACTAACATATTTCTAGGTTACTAACAGGTTTGTATATTTACCTGGTTACTAACAGGTTTGTATATTTACCTGTTTACTAACAGGTTTCTACATTTACCTGGTTACTAACAGGTTTCTACATTTACCTGGTTACTAACGGGTTTCTATATTTACCTGGTTACTAACAGGTTTGAGATCTGCATAGTTTTCTAAATTTTTAGGTCCAAAGTTGGAGACGCCATAATAACGGATTCTGCCGAGTGCTACCTGTCTCTTTAACTCAGTAATTGTCTCCTCTTTATCTTTTATAAAACTGGGAAAATGAATCTAAAAAAATAAATACCTCGGATATAGAAATGAATTATAGGAGAAAAATTACTTTGATAAAGTTTATATGAATAGCAATGTAAATTAATCTGGAATAACCTTAATAAAATAGATCCTCAGTTCATTCCAGTGTTAGATCTATTCTCCACCAGTTGCTTTCTCTCTTTAGGAAGTCGCAGTGGCTCATGTCCGGAGTTGGATCCCATTGCAAGGTGTTGGTCACGTGTACATGTTGGCATGCACATAAAAGAACCCTTGTGACAAATAGAATTTGAAATACGTGTAGGCCTAGACCTAGGCTGTAGCGTTGCTGTCTGAGCAAAAATTCCCTCATTACACACTGTATGATGTTCTTCATTACCCCTCTCGGTGCAGAAAAATAGGATTGGCTAAAACTATTATTTCCAAGGAGAGGCATATTTTCATTAACTAAATGGTGTATTAAATTTTTTCCATACAAAAAAAAACAAAAATATTATAAATTCATCAATGTCTCATTTAAAACCATTTGGAGTGCACATAAAAGATCCCTTGGCAGTTGGAATTCGATAAAAGAATAGGATAAGTGCCGTAGCCTGGGCAAAATTTCCCTCATGGCACACTGTATGGCGTATACCCGTTTTCATTAACCCAGCTGGAGCAGAAAAGTAGGACTTTAAACCCACTTTCATTTCATTTAATTTCTCATTTAAAACCAACCAACTGATAGTTTACAATCTAAGGGAGACAACTACATCTATACCTGAAGCAGATCTATATAGTCTGTCTGCATTTTTGTTAAACATTTTGTCACAGTTTGATCTATTTGTTCTGCTGTGTAGGGTTCCGTTCCTCGTCCAAAACCGTATTTTGTAGCTACAATTGCGTCCCGTCGTCTTCCTTTCAAACATTCTCCTAGGGTTTCTTCAGAACCAGCATATCCCTGCAGAAGAAAATATATTTTCAGAAAATGAATCCCCTTTAATTTGGAACCTAGAAATTGACACAAATGGGTCGCAAGCAATATAATAATGTAATGTGAATGTATATAAACTGATTTACATTCAACCGTTTCTGTTTTTACTGTAATTTCTAATCAGTTATGTTCGGAGAAATACGCCAGAAGTCTCAATTGAATGGCAATCTTTAGCGTCTGGTTATTCCAGTCTACACCAATGATTTTTAATGTGCATGCTCTCCAGATGAGAATATAGCGTTCCCATTTGACACGACTTGTGGAATATGTCTAGCCGCGTTTTTTGGGTCCCTTGTTCCAAATGGGGCTGCAACGTTTTATGGTACACGATTCGTGTACCAATAGTAAAATGTTTATTTGGTCTTGAAAATTGGATATCTTTTCCCTGTAAGATCACAAGACCAATATTGATTTGAATTGACAAATAATTCGTGTTTTCAATGTTGAAGATTTTTGATGATATTGGGTTAGAGACTTAGCTACTTTAAATGGTGCTATCTAGAAAGATAAATGACACAGGATTTTAACAGGTTTAAAATATGCTTCTACAAAAGATATCAGTGATATCCTTTCTTCAAATATTGATTAATGGCTTCGTATTCATTACTCGGCCAATGAAACCTATTGGTATTTTATCATTTTGACAATCTGATTAAAATGCAGATCCTATTTCGTTTCGTTTATTATAGTTCAAAATTTTATTTTAATTCTCTTCACTACATCAGTGTTGTGAAATACATTGTAAGTCGCATTCTGGTTGATGCGAGGGATTAGTCTATCAAATGGTCTGTTGAGTCAAGAACTGTGGGATAGACATTTGCAGCGATAGAAAACAAAACAAGCAAAAGTTGTATTTCTGAATAGCCACCTGAAAAAACGACGCTGACTGGTTAATCAAATGGCTGACATCATAGGGTCATAAGCTGCTCGTATGACCCCTGATACGACCTCTAACTACAACTAGTCAGATCTTCATGTAGTGGAAGCCATCGAAAGCATAAATAAAAGCATTAAAAAAAAAACAACGGAATATTGATCTGTATCTTAATCAAATTGTTATTATGGGGTTGGAAATCATATTTATTAATTTTGCATGGTTTTGTTAAAAAGCCTGCAATGTCTTCTTTGAGTAGGTTACAGAAAAATATTTAGTTACATTGTTTTGCACCACAAGCCAGGTTTAGGTAAAATCACAGAATCTAGCCCTATCTAAATGTTAACTGTCATCAACTGTGATTACTAGAAACCACTATTTGATACCATTTCTCCACTTTTGTTTACAAGAATTTCAACCTTCTCAAACAACATCTGATTTTGGTAATGGCCTATGATCATAGTAGACCGGAGGCTCAGCGCGGGGGGGGTGTCCATAAAATGGGCACAAAACCAGACCCAACTTTTCTAGAGTAAAATTTTGCATAGAATACGATGCCGAGTGGTAATCAGTCCGCCGTTGGGGCATTTTCGAGATATTCGGGGTCAAAGGTCAAATGAGTTCATTTGCACTGAAAGTGAATGCGCAGTCATTCTTGTATTATGAAAAGAAGATGAAAATGATCGAAAGTATTCACACTTTCAATAAAAATGTAAACTTGCTAAATTCACCTTTAGTCTTAGAGACCCTGGAGGTCAAAAGGTGAAATTTACCGTTTTTGCACTAGGAAGATTTAAAGCAATAAAATGTCAACGTAAAATATAAAAATCAAAGCGAAACCTGTTCTAATTAATAATAGGAACATTTCAAATTTATCTTTAGGTGGTCTTAGCACCGAACTTTTACTTTCGAACGCAAAATTTTACTCTAGAAAAGTTGGGTCTGGTTTTGTGCCCATTTGATGGACACCCCCCGCGCTGAGCCTCCAGACTATAGCATGTGTTGTATAATAATAGCTAGAGAGGCAATTTGATTATGTTACTCTCAAATCCAAAATAAAGCAACTCTGATGTAACAAAGTATGTCCAGGGAGATAACTCTGTATTGTAATTCTGAATCTACAATGTACTTACCTCAGCTGTATCAAAGAAGTTTATTCCTGTTTCAAAACATTTATCAACAATAGCCTTAGATTCCTGAAAGTCAAAGAAAAAAAAGAGACTGGTCAATTAAAAATTATTTCTAAAGAAGAAAAGTCAACTGGAGTTTCCATTATATTTCAGATCAGTATTCAAATTTTAAAAGGGGGGTCGCGGTGTTAAGTCCTGTGTACACATTGATATGCGCGTAAGTCGTAAAAGAACCCTTGATAGTCGGAATTTGAGATAAAATTAGGTTGTAGTGCTGCTGTCTGGGCAAAATTGCCTTTATATAGTCTGTCAAAGGATAAGCAACGCATCTTTTCAGGATCGGATTGATAAATAGTGTGACAAAGGATTAAGTCAGTTAATCAAGGCAGATTAAAGGGCCAATCCCGATAATATTTTAGAGAATAAAACTGCTTAATTTTGTGTTAAAATCCCATAAAATCCTCTACCTTAAGGCCGAGCAACTAACTCAACATATGTGATACGTTTTCAAACAACTTAACCCGTCAGTCTTCATCTGGAAATGGAGACCGGTGTCCCAAGCTGTATTAGGCGGTGTCTGGATAAAACCAAACTTTTATTTTATAAAAACAATGTGTAGGTCAAATTTACCTTTCGTTATCAAGTACAGCACATGGGTCATTCATTGCATAGACCTCTACAGGAACAGAAATCGATTATCAAGTCACCTAACGAAGAAATTGACCCAAAATCTAAAAAAAGGGTTACGTGTCTGGATAAGTAGTTTTGATGTTCACATCCACACGACTCAATATTTTGAGCTGAAATTTTGAGATAGGGTAATTACATCATTCCTCTATATTTTGGCCCTTAAATTTCTTACGTACTCAAGACTTTTATTTTGGAGACCCTGTTCAAATCGGGATAGTCCCTTTAAGTAGTTAATCAAGGTAGGGGTATAGACTGTATAACACGATAAATACGTTGATCACTTTATTACCTAATCAATCAAGCCTTTTATCAATGATAATCAAGATGAATACTACTTATATCCTCTGTACGTAAATATATTTTGAATATTATTCACTATACATTATATATCTTGATGTCCGATTAGGCATGGTCGGACATTTGGAAAATCATGTAGGACATTTCAGGAATATACGGTAGAAGTAGCGTCCCTGGTACACAATTTAGCATACGCTTGTCTTCATTAACCCAGGCGGTGCAAAACAGTAGGACATTAAACCCTATTTCATTTCAATTCAGGTTAGAGAATGGTTAGATGTTTTTGACTATCTGATAATTTCTCTACTCCAATTGACTTTCAGCACCTCTGTCAAGATACCTATGTATTTATAAGATGATACTATCAATGTTTTATCAATATTCATATTACAGGTAGTAATATGGCTATAAATTATCAAATGATATGAAAAGGCTGTTTAACATTATTTCTGCACTACTAATTATATACTGTTTCTAAATATATAAAAGTAATTAGTATGAATATAACAAGCTGTTGATTCCAGTAAACAAAAGGTATGAATATTAACTTTACTTAATCTGTTTTACTGTAAAACATCTTATTATTAACCATTATTAATATATTATTATTAAAGTTTGAAAATATCCAGATATGGCCAGGTCCAGATTACTTATCTGGTGGCGAGGGTGGCGGGATTAAGAGGTCAGTTTTAGTCTACTGCCGACAGGTCTGGTACAAAAATAGAGAGTTATGAAAAAGGCCAGGAGGTCCCCAGTTTGATTTTACTAATAACTGAGAATGTTCCTCAGGACTCTCCCATCTGTTATTCTCTTCTCAGTGGGACAGGACGGTAGTCTAGTCATTAGGAAGGTACAATAAAATCTGAGGATCACCCATATACACAATGGCATGCATATAAAAAGAACCATTGCCATCTTTGGGTGGAAACGTTGCTCCACGACAGGGAAAATTCCTCTCATAGCACAAAATCGGTCTCTCGGGTACAACTGCATGAAATAATTATTCTAGGCCCTCCTTTTATAAATGTCCCCTTTCCCATTTTTTAAAATATTAACCAGTCTGTAAACCAATTGTCCCCACCCCTTTCCTTTCCCATTTTATAAATTCAACTCAACTGATAAGCTATACCCATGTAGACAGTGTTGTATGAAAATATCTATATGGGGTTCAGTATGCTATCACTGATAAAAGTTCTTTCTTGTTTTATCACCTCTACTTGATGTTTATTGTCTGTTAAAGGTCACACATTGACATACATTCTGGTGTTCAGAGTAAGATCAGTAACTTGTGACCTCATTTTTTGGTCGTTTACCTAACAAGATAAATAATATTTTAGTGGAAAAATCCCATAGTCAATCAAACTGTTTAATACTGAATTAAAGGTTCTTATAACCCTTTATTAAAGATGCATTATGTAAGATTTAGATAAAGAGCTAGCTGTTCTTGCTATAATAGTTCAAAAATAGATAATGCAAAATGATTATATTGAAAATTTCATTCAAATTAATTTATTCTGAGCAAAGTTATAACTATTTGAAGTTTTGACAAGATGTTTCATAGATTTATTAACGTAACAATGGTACTTGTTATTATTTCGTATTCCAACTGTCGAGGGTTTTTTTTTCATCCCATCCAAACGACTATAAACTGCCCCTTAGTGAATAGTCAGGCCTTCTGTCCTGCACAATCGACAATGGGCAAACATCCAGGAAAATCCTGAAGAACTTTCTCGACCAACATAGGAATTAATTAACACGAGGCCTAGGCTCCACCTTATGGCAAGCCAACGCGGAACCTCCTGAAATGGGGTTTAAATTATAGTCACAGTCTACCATACAATGAATTTTAATACACGTGTTCTTATATAATGTGCTACAAAGTTGGCCTAAAAGTCCTTGATAAATAAAATACCATACAAAAAATGACATATATTTATTAAATGTTAGTTATATGAATATCCCCACTAATAGAGAAATGATGACAAGTTTATAACTATTAGCCTACAATAAAACCGTTACGGCCGTTTAGCGTGTATATAGCGACCGGTAGGTCTACTTGCAGTTGCATTTTTCTAAAAACAATGTCAATATAACGTGTTCACTTACTTTTAATTCCTGGCTTTCCCAATTAACGGTAGGTTTACCGTTATTAAACTGCCAGCATCCCAGACAAATTCTGGAGACATTCAAATCGGTTCCGTTCAATGTTACTTTCTCCATTGTCGACGGTCAAAAAGATAGACGCTAACTAACAAGGCCGTAAAGAAAACGTAGATAACAGATTTTAGATCAAGGTTCAGTAACTGCAAGGGGGGCGTGGCTTTAAATGGAGTTGTCTCCCTTCCACCATATTGGCACCGACAATTATCCTGTTTTCACGACAAAAAACAACATTTTCTTAACCTCTATTTGTAGTATTTGTTTAGAACGAGGCTATGGCTAATAGATATATATCCGCGATGTCCCGGCAGTTATAAAGCTATCAGAGATTTGGATATACCAAATTTAACACTTCCAGGAATACATGGCACCAGTGGCGGGATATTCTAGTCTAAGAAAATCGATATTCGCACCAAACAGAGTTACGCGCCTTTAAACCATTGCTTGCATTACTTGAACGGTGTAATCAAACTTATAATAATTTATGCTCGAACATAGCATATGCGTCATTATAGGGCTACATGGGATTGTATTCAGAAAATTCCCTTAGAATGTCCGCCATGTTCGTCAAATAATATCCACATTATGTAAGACTAAGCTTTCAAAAAATCTTTTGAAACGTTTGATAGCCAAACTGGGGTGAAGAGAGTCGACAGAGAGTTGCTGTCTCCAGATTTTCGTCCAAGTCGCAAGGTTGTGTTAAAGAAAGACAAATGTTGTTACGGGCCCAAATGGCGGGTATCGAGTTCTATGATGCCGTATTAAATAACGAACTGCAGTTATTGAAACGTTTAGTGACACAGCACAAGCTTGACCTAAACGCCAAGTTTGTGGAGGTCAGAAAGAAAAACCATTCTGACCTGTGTCCAGTTCACCTGGCGTCATATCGGGGCTACACGTATATGCTGCAATATCTCATAGAATCCAAATGTGATGTTAACAGAACGACTACCACACTGAGAAGGACAGCTCTTCATTTTTCTGTTCTTAGACACAAGATAGCATGTATGTTGTTATTAATAGCTGCTGGAGCCAAGCTAGATGCCAAAGACACCTTTGGCAACTCCCCTTGTCATTATGCTGCAGATGATGGCTACTGTCAAATTTTGGATGTGCTAATTCGGCGTGGAGTCAATGTCAACAGCAAGGACATTACGTCGAAGACACCATTAATGAAAGCAGTGCGTAACAACAAGACTGATGCAGTTCTGCGTTTATTAAGAGCCAATTCGGATTTGAATATAACAGATCGGAATAGCGATATGGCCTTACATTATGCGGCAAGAAATGGTTGTGTGGACATAATTGATATTTTACTCTCCGCTGGAAGTTTGATCGATGTTCAGAATTATTGGGGCCGGACCCCTTTGATGGAAGCTGTGTGTTATAATCACCGGGAAGCCATCGCTCGATTGATTGAGGTCAGTTGTGATTTAAACCGTCGAGAATTCAAAACGGGCGACACAGCACTACACATTGCGATTAAAAGGAACTATAGTGCTGTTGTTGATCTTCTGCTGGCTGCAGGAAGTCGTCACGATATATACAACCACCAGGGGGAGACTGCAGCTTACGATGCTGTAGTAACCAATAAACTAGACATCATTCGATTGATGATTATTTCTAACTGTGATATCGACATCCCAGCCAAATACTTCCCCAATGGTGTATACAAGTCAATATTTCAGCTAGCTGCCGAGAAAGGCCATTATGAGATTTGCCGTTTACTGGCATCACTAGGGTACGTGGATTATGCCGCGCGTGATAACTTTTATACAAACTATACCCCATCGTCTCGTCCTAATGAACAGGACGATCTGATAAACTTGCTTAGGAGCAGTATGCAATCTGTGGTCAATCTGCAACAGTTGTGTAGAAGATGCATCAGAAAAAGAGCCGGGCACAATCTCTCTGACAAAATCGAAATCCTACCCATGCCCCGAGCACTTAAAGACTTTCTGTTCATCAAAGAATTAAGCTGTAAAAAGGCAAATTAAATGTTGTGAAGACATGGAAACATGACCAATGAGGACGAAGTGCTGATTATACATTTAATTTGAATTAATTAACTATGGTTTGTTTTAATAATTGTTATGGTTTTGGGTAATATTTTTACGGAATTCAACGAATTCCATTAAATATTTACTTCTGAAGAGATTTTAATTACTGTTGTCTGTTAAATACTGGATATAGAGGGTTTAAAAGCATCTTGTTAAGTTATGTGCATGTTAATGGTTGACTATACCAAGTTGAAGATTTTAAGCGTTCCGTTCACAGTAGTGTTGGCTAGAATGTACTAAAGGGGGAGCCTTGGGCCAGAAATAACTTTGGGAAAATCTCTGTGTTTTTTGAAACAAATGCCCCTCTCCTAATTCTGAATTAATGCCCTTGATTTAGGTCGAGGTACAACATTCCCAGTACCATTGCTCCCCCCTCATCTGAGATCTTTGGGCCCGATTATTTCTGCTGCGGTAAAACTTTTATCTGAACTAAATTTGAGTCTATTGTTTTAAATAGCACTCTTGAGAAATGTCTGTATTACTTAATTGTGATATTTCATTCTCCATGTGAATGAATAGACATTCTGGCTCGCTCTATAAATTCTAACATGAGTCCCCTGTCCTAGTGGGAAGCTTAAGCCCCTCCCATCCCTCCTTCCTCCATTTTCTCGTGTCCGACCACGCTACTGTTCGTTAATTAATGTAAGTAATGACTGACATTTATGATGTACATTTTTCATGCGGGTTTAAATTTCGTCTCTGGACGACAACACTGATACTATGACCTCATTCATTATGTGTTATATTAAATTTATTTATTCTCAACAAATCACAAATTTTTGTTTTATTCAAAAATGTCTGTATAGTTATGTTTTTAATCAAAATGGTGGGGTGGGGGTTATACATGCCTGCATACAGCTTCAGCATGCAAGAAGAACATGGGGATCATCATTGTGTAGTAAGACTTGTGGTGCAGTCCTTCTCACAAATTGTGAGAGATGTCGTGGCTGAGGTTGAATTAAGCTGACTGGTTAATCAGGTCTCGGGTTCGCTCCCAGTATTGGCCGAGAAAGTTTCACTGGATTTATCGGGCATTGTTTAACCTTGTAAGTAGTGTGGGTCTGAGGACCTGGCAAGAAACCGCTTCTAGCCTAAAGGGCATTGTTTAACCTTGTAAGTAGTGTGGGTCTGAGGACCTGGCAAGAAACCATGTCTAGCCTAAAGGGATGACAAGCCAAGATCCTGATAGTCAAAATTTTAAAGTGGAAGTCTTGGTCCTGTGTAAACCTTGCCATCCCTTGACACCCAGTATTTGAAATAAGAGTAGGACATAGGCCCACTATCCAGGCAAAATTTCCCCTCACTTGATACTGTGTCTGTCCTCATTAATCTGGTTGGTGAAGATTAGTAGGACTTTAAACCCTATTTCATTTCTGGTGCTATGAACATACTTCTGCTACTGGGACAATTATTATATAACACCATTATTAAAATAAGACTTTTTTCGAAAAGGTCAGAAAACGGGGGGATGTGGTATGAGATATCTAATCTAAATGGTTTCTTCCAGTTACCATGTCGAATGTCAACGCTGACACTTTCCATGACATAGCACTGAACATTGGAGCTCTATTACGGACATATTGTTCAAAATCCTCCTCCTCCTCCATATATCCGATAATTTTTATTTCTGGTGGTTCTTCACTTGATTAACCCAGGTCCAGTAAAAATATGATTCAGGTTCTGTGGACAATAAACAGGAGAATCCAGGATCATGGTTTCTTTATCTCATAAACACAAAAAAAACTGAATTTGAACTAATGGAACTTTGAAAATCATGATCTTATGAAGATGTCGCTTTAAAAAGTTGGGTAAGTACAACTCCTGTTCTGTGGAAGACGCAACACTTACACTGAGCCATAATTCAAGAGTGCATGAGTACCATAGCATTGCAACAAGAGTGGAAAGGGATCTGATAAACCATAATCTAATGTCTTATATCCATGCACAGATGTTGTGTGGCTGCTAAAGGTGGACAGTGGACATACACATACATCTCGTCCCCCCGGCCCCTAATGTAAAGTTGTTATGGCTTCCATTTTCTTGTCAGCCCACAATCCTGTTGTGTTATGTCTCGCCAGCACCCCCAGTTACATTGGCAGTACGATTTCGTGTCTAAGTATATATGGGTCTTGCAATTATACAGATGAAGTCTGTCAACCCATCAGCAATAAAGTCGCGTTTTAAGTTTTGGACTTGAAAATGGCACCGGAAAACATTAATATTGGTTCTAGTTATTTTGAGGATCAAATATGAAAGATGAAAATCATTGACTTGAAACATAGATTGAATTTGGAATGGAGTTTAAAATTTGTCCATTCTTCCTCAATTCCTCAATTCCAATCACCAAGGTATTTTTACATGCACTGTCAATTTACACCGGCAGAACTTCTGTATTCTGCCTCATCCCAATCCTAATAACTAAGGGTGGTAGATACACTTCCCTTGTCATCTGCACAAGCAGCGTCACCTTCAAATGAGCTTGAAAAATCCTGGTGGTTCTTCTTGAACCACACAACAACTGCAGGACTCCAGCTTTGACCAGTAATTACAAGTCCAAAACCCCAAATTACAACTTGAATGCAGCATTATAGAAGTCTACTTCCTATTTAATTAAAATAGAAAACATATCGTTGAAGTACTTCCAAAAATGACATATCACATTTTTTTCTAATTTTTTATGAGGTACAAAATAAAATAAAATTAAATTAATAAATCAATTAGTAGTTTTAATTTATCATCAAGCTAAAGTAAAACTGCCTAATTCATTTTTGAGACCATTTGTTAGGATATCGAGATTACTAAAAATTAAATAAGGGATTTTGGAAAACAATTGAGTTAAAAAATTTTGGAAGCACAACAATAATACATGATCTTATAATAAAAACAAAAATTAAATTTAACAGTCAAAATTCTTTATGTTACAAATTTGACTCAATTACAAATTATGTGGCACAGTGAGTCAATGATAGATTAGATGATAAAATGAAGGAACAATGTTTTAATTTAACCCAATTTCTTGGCTTTGCTATACAAGGCATCTACCACTTTACCCATATTCTGAATAGTGTCTAAAGTACTTTCGTATGTTTTATCTATTGGAGTTTCATCAAATATTATCAATACTCCAGCTCCTTGGTCCAAAATACCTGAAAAATATATAAACAACCAGTTACTAAAAATAGATCACTTGTAGTATAAAACTTCATGTGGGACATCGTGTCTAAACTTGACATCAACTAGCATGGAAATTTGTGATTAAACTTGACGTCATCTATTGTGGAACATCGTGATTAACCCCAACCTCAACTCCAACCTCAACTGAAATCAATTACTGCGGGACCATCATCGTGATAAAACTTGATGTAAACTACCATGGGACCGTTGTGATAAAAACTTAATTGTGATAAAACTTGGATGAACATCATGAAAAAAACATTATCATGATAAAGCTTGATGTCAACTAGCATTTGACTGTCGAGATAAACCTTGATGTAAACTACTGTAGGACCATCACGATAAAACGTGATGTAAACTACCGTAGGACCATCATGATAAAACTTGATGTCAACTACCATGGGACTGTTGTGATAAAACTTGATGTCAGCTATCATGGGATCTTCGAGATAAAACATAATGTAAACTAAACTACCGTAGGACCATCACAATAAAAACTGATGTCAAATATCATTTCATTTCATTTTTATTTCCCTATCTTATCTATTGAGAATCAGTAAAATTTGTGTCCATGGAAACTCAAAATGTATTAGACCCAACAAATTTCTAATTAGCATAAGGCTTATAGCTTTATGTGTGTTTGTACAAATGGCACAAACAGTTTATGACATATGTTCTAAAAACAAAAGTGACAGAAGGATGAATGGAGCTTGTTTCAGTATCCCTCCTTTAACTTCCGTTGGTGTGACAGCAAAAACCTATCTAATTGTACATCATTAACCTTCTTTGTTTTCCTATCTGGAAATATTATAATTATTCTATAACTTACCACTAAATTTCTTATCTAATATCATCTGTGACAATTTCTTCTCAATCGTAACCTACAAAATAAACATCAACAATTATGATCCAATGTGCACATGTTAGGCCATTTGGCCACCCAGCCCTGATTATTTCATAAGAACTGTATTGTTAACTGTACACCCATCATCAGTTGTGCGATAATTGTTGGTACTCATGCTAATATTCAAATTTAAATTGTTTTTCCTAGGCTATTCAAACTATTGTTTAAGTATCTGTTATTCAATACAATGTTAGAACATTAGCATAGGGGATAAAGTAACTGTAATATAGTGAAGCACTTTTCGTGGGGTTGTGGCAGACAACTCTGAAACTTTTGGAAAAATGCTATGTTTTCATGAAAAGCATATCAATCTCTGATCTATACACTTCTTGCCACATTGCATTTCCTCTCTCACGATTTGTTTCCCCATTATTTCTCTCATTACAACATTTTGATCTGTATATAATGATAATGTTTTATAGGTCCTGATCAGATGATGGTTTCTGAAATGGGGTCGGAACCAACAGATGGTTGGGAACCACTGCTACATGTATATATAATAGATAAAGCAGCTGTAATATAGCTATAATAATAGATATAGTAGCTGTAATATAGCTATAATACAATAGATAAAGCAGCTGTAATGTAGCTATAATAATAGATATAGTAGCTGTAATATAGCTATAATAATAGATATAGTAGCTGTAATATAGCTATAATAATAGATAAAGTAGCTGTAATATATTAGCTATAATACAATAGATAAAGCAGCTGTAATATAGCTATAATAATAGATAAAGTAGTTGTAATATATTAGCTATAATACAATAGATAAAGCAGCTGTAATATAGCTATAATAATAGATATAGTAGCTGTAATATATTAGCTATAATAGATATAGTGGTTTACATACCTCTGGTAATTTGATTAAATTAGCTACATGTTGTACCTGTAATTATATAAAATAATAAATTAAAAATATTATCTTGTAGATTAACAATTTTTCTGTTGGTAAATATACAATGCAACAATTTTCATCCCATATAGACACAAACAACCAAAGCTGACAAGAGAAATGTTTGAACCAATCAAACAACACCGAGGGGTTGAGGGGGAAGTCCCCTTTAACAATGAAATTTTCATAAAGATATCGTGACTAGTTTATGACTGGCAGAAGTAGCATATTTCATTATTTTTCCCTTAAACATGCAGTATGTAAGATTAAGATAAAGAGCTGGCAGTTCTTGCTATAATAATTCAAAAATAGATAGAGAGAGAAATGGGGTTTAACGTCCACTCAACACAAATTAGGTCATTTCGGGACTAACACATGGTTCAATTTTATTTCAATCATTCTCTTGCGTGTAGAGGTCTTTATCCGTGGGAGGAAACTGGAGGACCCGGAGAAAACCCACAAGGTTGGACAGGCGACCCTACTCCTTGTCACGTACAACCAGGGAATCGAAACACAGCCAGTTGACTCAGTGACAGACCGTATGGTACAGCGCGTGAGTGCTAACCATTCGGCCATCCAACCCCCCCTCAAAAATAGAAAATGAAAAGGGAATATGTTGAAAATTTCAGTAAAATTATTTCATTTGGAGCAGATATATTGTCGATTACAAACAGGGTAGTCACAGTTGTCATAGCTACGATAATAAACAAAGTCTTGATTATGCATTTTTAAATTAAATCATTAACCATAAATCATATTTAAATTTGTTGAAAATCTAGAGCATATGATGGTATCGAGCGATGATTATGGTCTTGGCAAGTTAATGTCTAATTAATAATCTATATAACATTTCAGGCCTAAAGAAAGACCTGTAATATGCACATTTAGTTCTTGAATAATGTCCCTTTAACTTGTTAGGATAATAAAATGGTTGTATAATGTTGTAGAGAATACAGCTAACATGTATTTACCTGTACTTTAGAGAATGGTTCTATAATTCTACAGAGATTCTGTTCTAATAAATTATCATATAAAGTCTTCAGATGGGCATTAACTATTGGGTCATCTTCTAATTCCTTCTTATACGATGCTAGTGACTGAAAACAACCAACAATACTACTTTAATAGAAAATTATTGCAATGCATCCTTGACAGACCTTATGGTTTTACATGCAACCACTAGATCCCCCAACCCCCTCATGAAAAGAAAAGGACAATACTGCAGGATTAAAACCCTGGATATTCAAGTCAATGGGCCAGTGCCCTGAAAACTCAATTACCATGAATATCCCCCCAACCATTCAACTCGGCCTAAAAATAAACCAGTAATGTCATTCCTGAGTTCATTAATGGTTGCAGTAATGAGCATGTTGTTCATTTATATTATGTTTAAATACAATGGAAAAAATTTATCCATACTATTATTACCCTCCAATAGTCCTTTGACAAGGCAGTAATTATATGAAATGAAATGGTGTTTAACATCCTACTTTTCTGCTCCTGTATCACTGACAAGATGAAACCACACCGGTAAATCCAGAGGAGCTTTCTCAGCCAATACCGTGAGCTAAACTGAGATCTCCAGAATAGCGAGCCAAGATCTTATACAATGAGACAGCATGGCTCCTAGTCATTTTGTACAATGCTATTTGCTTTAATTACTATTAACTGAAATTGAAAATAAATTGAGTACCTTCTGAAAATCAGCTAACGATCGTTTATGACTGGCATCTGCTATACTCTTCATGGCTTCCACGGCAGCGCCAGAATATTTTAATGCTAATTTACCGCTCACTATGGTATGTACTTCATCAGCTCTTTAAAATACAAACATTTAAAATCTCAGATTTGTTACATAGATTTAAATAAATGTTGATCAACCTTCAGTTTGTACCACTTTCAGGCTCATTATTTGAAACTAGCAAGATACCTGGCTTTGCCCCGGAGCACAAATTCACATGGGGCCCGAATTCACCCATCGCCCAAATTTGAAGACCTAAAACATTCACAGGGTCATGCCGGTTATTTTTATATCACATATGTGGGGATGGATCGCAGCAAAAAAGCTTGATGGGCGAACATACACACATCCTTGATTATGTTTTTATAGACTATTGCTTTGTTGGGGTTTCAAAATTTGAGACACAACATTCAAATTTCTTTCAAAATTTGTACAAAGGATCGCCTTCTTTTGTCCTATATGTAGGCCTAGACACATCTTCTACGTCACAAATGACAAATGGGCTCGGAAAGTGCTAAAATTTGTGGGTAAAATTCAAACATGGAGAACATTCTGTCTGTGTGTACTATAGTGGCCTAACCAAACAACCACTCTGTGGCCCACTTTATTGGATTAGAAATCTTAACATTTTATTTTTGATGTTAGTTTTAATTTATGTATTGGTTATTGAAATGTGATGTAAGAGGGGTACTCTCAGGGAGAATTTGCTAGTCTGTGAACTTACGGCTACGCTATATTACACATAACTGCATGACAATAAAACAGCTGTTATACTATTCTCAATGCACATTGATGATTAAATCCAAAAATGGATAATCGAGACTATGTTTTTAATCATACTGACTTTAGTAATGATGATCGAGGCTGGGCCTAAAATTCAATCGCTAATATCTCGGTTCAGAGTGGAGCAATTTGACTGAAATTTTCAGCACATTCCCTTTAGGTTATCTAATTTTTTTTTAGCAATTATAGTGCGAACTGTCATCTCTACATCTAATCTCCCTTAAAAATCCTTACTATCTGTCAACTAATTATGCAATCAACAATACTAGATTCAATGAAATTTTGACCACTAGAGAATTTGTAAGTTTTAACAAGTTAAATGTTTTCTCTAGTTTGTATTCATGGTACTGAGTCTAGTTTTCCATGATAATACCATTTCTATATCAAATTTAAGACTAACTTACGTATTTAACATTATTTTACTAAGTAACATGTATTTGAGTGCCACTACAGCTTTAGGACTGTCTATAGAATCATAACCTTCAAAAGCTTCATAGAAATATGAATAGGCTGTCTTGAAGTCTCTTTCATCTGCAGCATGCAAAATTCCTGTAAATAAATCAGAGCGTTGAATGTATAGGACTATATACAACTAAGTTGTGTCAGACAAAATGTCTACCACAATTCTGACTGTATTTTCCAATTACAAGATAACTAAAGTTACTTCTATTATTTGGCTTGTCTCAATGGACATCTAAATCTAAAAAAATATATTTAAGAAACTCAGTTCACTCTTGTGGCCTCAGCATAATAGTATAATTATAATATGACGTTTGGAAAGCCAATCAATGAATATATATCATCCACTCTTAGAGCAATGATTTCTATCTTTTTTTTAATTTCAATAAAGCTTTGTAGACAACCCCACCCTGATCTGATGTACGTAATAATATTTCTGGGGGAATTTAACAACACAGAAAATATTAATCGCATGTCTTTAAACCAACTTTCTGAGCCTAAGGGAATTGTTTACATCTTTCAGTTTGAATAGATTTGATTATCACACAAAGAATGTCTTTTCTCTTTTGCAGTCTGGATAATTCAAGACTTTTGATTGTAAGAATGATTGGAGTCTATGAATCACTAAATGCACGGGTCTAATACAGAAGATATTTGGCCATGATGAAGTGGAGAAAACAAACAAAAAATATATAAATCAGTGTGAAATGCTTGTATAGTCTACAGTAGACTCTGTACTAGAAACCACTCCTATTCAGCGACATCTCCTTTTAATCGGTCACAATAAATTTCACCCATAGAAATCTTTGGTTTCATCTCTTTAATAAATAGTCACCTCTCTTACGAGACCAGCTATAAAACGGTATCTTGAATAATATTCACCATATCTTGATGTCTATTAGGCATATTCCTGGTTGAACGTTTAAAAAATCGCATTGGACATTTCCAGAATATACAGTAGCATCCCAGTAAGAAATAGGTCACTCATATTACAAGTTCATTTATGAAAATTCCCATGACTGGCTGCTGAATATTGATTCTTCTGCAATTTAATTAGACTAGCTACATACAGATGCAGGATCAGACTCATAGCTTACACAGACAATACAAATTACGGATATACGTCACAGTTACATAACTCAGCCGTCCACATTTATACAAAATATAAACATACCAGATTGTAAATCTAGAGCTGCTTGTAATTTAGGTGGACAATAAATACCATTAGCTGTTGTTCTACCAGATGTTAATGCAGCTCTATAATACACAAACAAAATAATTTATTAAATCAACTAAGTCATCAACATTCCGTTGCCTTGTACCCCAAAAACTACTTTACTAGATAATAATAAAATACTCGTACATACAGGCAATCTTAAATCATTTCGTAATACATCTATCCTTAGATTAAACATTGTGAAAGTCGATAATACCCTTAGATTCAACCGACAGAACAGAATTTTCATATGTCGATAACAAAACTATAAGTATTAAATAAACAAACCTTGCTTTAGGTAAGTTACTAAGAGCGTGATATATTTTACTCTCCAATAATTGAACTTCAACCAATAAAGCTTTATCATCTAATTTCTTTAATTCTCGTAATAATGATGAACCTGTTGATGAATAGAAAACAATTTCATTATGATTCTCCTTAGTCTCTAATACTGGTAGCTATAACGTAGAGGTGTTGGTTATTGGCTAGCGAATCAAAAACAACCTACGCTGTTTTGGGGACATGCCAACATTCAAATTTCTTGATTCTTTAGGATCAGACATTTTGAGTCCTATTCCTAACTTCTAAAACCTTAAACTGAATGTTTAATTTTTAGTAATTCAATCTTAAAAATCTATATATAGGCTATTTCTGCAAGATCTGTCAGGTAGTTCAAGTCTATACATATTTTCTTTCACTGCAAGTACTATTCTTTTAAATGGACATATCTTCCCAAAAATATTCTAGGCATGTAACAGCCACCTAAATGAGATATGGTAACTGAAAGATCAAACTGCCTTGTAGATGGCTCAACATTTTCAGAACAATAACATTACATTTCTTGGTTATAAAACTCTGAACCAGAAGAATAAGATGTTTCTGGATTATGTAACACTGAATTTTTCCGAATCTTTACTCTTTTCTCTATCAGGGTGTTTAAATGTAAAACTTACCCAGCTTCAAGCCTTCTTGATAGTCCTTTGTATCAAAATATAATGCTATCAATCGGGCCTGAAATATATGTTAGACAGGGTTTACTTCTCCTTTCAACAATATAATAAAAACATAAATATTTTAAATATCAATCAATAAAGAAATACTTATTAAAGATACATTATGTGAGATGAGATAAAGAGCTGACAGTTGTCACTATAATAGTTGAAAAGTAGATAATGTAAAGGGAATTTGCTGAAAATTTCAGTCAAATTGATCCACTCTGAACTGAGAATTTAGTGATTGAATTTTGGGCCTAGCCTCGATCATCATTTCTAAAGTACATGTAGATACAATAAAATACATAGTCTCGATTATCCATTTCTTGATTTAATCATGAATGAGAGTTGAGCAGCACATCAGATCCTAATCCAGTAAATATCGAGAGTTGATTATGGTCTGGATAGGTTAATTAAAGTCTAATTAATAATTAAGATATTTCAGGCCTAAAGAAAGACCCGCAATAGGCAGATTTAGCTCTTGCATAATGTATGTTTAAGAAGAGATATATAGCTAGGATTTAATTTCGAATCAAAATAACCCTGGGTCTAACACATAGTAAGTCTTAATTCTATTATTTTGGAAAACAAAAGAACCAATAGAAAATCCACAAGATTAAACATACATTATGCAAGAGCTAAATCTGCCTATTACATGTCTTTCTTTCAGTCTGAAATATTTATTAAAATGAAAAGACCTTAATCAACCCTCTATGCCATCTTGTGTGTTCGATTTTCACTGGATTTGAATCCAATCTGCTGCTCAATGCTCATTGATGATTAAATGCAAAAATGGATAATCAAGACTTTGTATTTTTTTTATCGTATCGACTTTAGTAATGATGAGTGGGGCTAGGCCTAAAATTCAATCGCTAATATCTCTGTTCAGGGTAGAGCAATTTGACTGAAATTTTCAGCATATTCCCTTTACATTATTTAGTTTTTAACTTAACTATTATAGTGAGAACTACCAGCTTTTTATCTAATCTTCCATAATTCCTTTAAGCAAACCACTCTAAATGCATAAAATTGAATTGAACCCAAAAAATATGCTGATTCTCTGCAATAACCATGGCATTCATCTCACTAATCTTATTCGTGAATCCAAGAACATAAGAACTCATTATAGATACCATCACTGTAATAAGATTTATGAACTCACCTCTAAAGCTTGTCGAAGAAATGTTCTTTTCTCATTCTTAGCCCATTCTATACATTCTTTACATAACTCTACCTGGAATAACAAAATATTCAAAATTCAATCATCTAAAATGTTTGAGATTGCTTGAAAGACTCACTAAGTATAAAGACTCTATTCATACAAAGGTTTTATGTAAATGTACAAATGTTAATTTGGCATGAACATTTTGAATAATCTTGTCTAGCAAAGTTAAGTTATTTTGTAAAATGCTCACAGAAAAATAAAATTCCCAAATCTCCATTCAAAAAAGAAACATATCTCCTATTGCACAAGGAAAATTTAGAATTAAGCAATTTTGTCGAGTACATTTGATTTGATAAAGAATTTATTGTTCAACATTACCTCTTTTCCGGTGGCTGCCTCCATATCAAGGAATCTATCAACTAATCCACGGACAAGTTTGGCTGCCTTAGCTTTACTGACCATAGCCAGAAATGGACGAGTATACACAATCAGGGCAATTATTTCTGAAAAATAGGCGAAAGTTTAAGGTGATTAGTGTAGCAAACATGAAAACATCTTAGTTGCCTACATCATCTGAACACAAGTATTTGACCGATTTGGCCGTAAATCTCTGATTAAAAATCTCTAAATGCATCGGTTGAGTAACAAAATCAGTGTCTACCTTTATTATCTACTCAACTTATTTATATATTCATTTGATGAAAATCTGCGAATCATTTCTACTTTATGATAAAAACACATGTAAATAAAATATTGTTAAATTTTCCAGCAATTTTCAGGTAATATAACTCACAGGAGTTCTGCATTGTTAAACATCCATTTTAGCAACATAGTGGTAATCCAAAATAAATATTAGTTGATCCTGACAAAACTCATTTGTCATGCATTTGTGTAAGGTACGATATTTTCTAATCACAGTCATTTTTTTTTATTTTTTAAACAGTTTTTGCTACGGCCGACTATTATATCATCCAACTGTCAAGAGTTCTTATTGTGTATGTCAACAAACAAATAGGAATCTTGGTTTTTCGTTCCATCCAAACAACTATAGACACCGTTCCTTGCCACACCATCCGTCCTGTACCACTGACATGGGGAAGCTATGCTCGAAAATCTCAGGGAACTTTCTCTGTCAATGCTAGGATTGAACCCCAAATTTCCTTATCAGTACGGAAGTCAGTGCCTTACTCACAGAGCCACTGCAGAAAATAGGACAAATATCAGGACAGATAATTTTCTATGGTTCTGGATGTAAATATGTTTATAATAATTTACCTGCTGCCTGTTTGTTTTCAGCATAAATACTCCCCAGATCCAAGATGGCCTGTTCTTTACTCTTTATACCTTCTTCATCTCCAACTGGTAAATTCCGCTTCACTGAAGAAAAAATAGTATAAAGTAATATTGTGTCAAAAACATCACAATACTGTGTCCTTCGTTCGAAATATCTGATTCCATACACTTGGTAATCTTCTTCTTGTGCTTCTTATTTGTACGAAGCTTTTCAAAAAATGACTAAAGCTCCACCAATTCGAATATGATTGATAATTGCACATTGATTGATGGATCTTATTTTTTATTTTGACACCACAATTCTATGATGGCTGCGATGACATCATGATTCGATCCTGGTTCATGCTTGTAATAACTTGTGCCCGTTGTGACAGATGCTGAGTTAAAAGCATTTGGTCTTGTATTTTTGGGAAAATCGTCAATTGATTGCTGTTGAGGCTTCCCCATCCACCCTTTCCTGTATGCCTACTTGTTCCTGTTCAAGTAATGATGGACACCTTCTACAGAAAACAGCTATGCACAGATCTTGTTGAAACGTCGTGTGTATATAATATAGTGATTGTTATCCATAGAACTTTGTTGTGTTAAAGAATGACCAACTCTTTATCTAAATCTTACACATAATGCTTGCTTCTTTAATTATAGACATTGTGTCACCCATTTACAACTTAAAGTAGCTAAGTCTCTAACTCAAGATCATCCAAAGTCTTTGACATTGAAAACACGAATTGTTTGTCAATTTAAATCAACATTTATGTTGTTATGTTACCGGGAAAAGGTGGGCTTCTGATATCCAATATTTAAGACAAAAGAAACATTTTACCACGTGTACCATAATGCTTTTCAGTGCCATTTGTAACAATGCACTTGAAGAACGAGGCTAGACATATTCCACAAGTCATGTCAAACGGTAACGTCATATTCGTATCTGGAGAGCATGCACAATAAATATTATCGCTGCAGACTTGAATAACCAGACACTAGAGCTCGCTATTCGATCGAGACTTCTGGCATATTTAGCTGAACATAAATGGTATGAATTTAGAGTAAAAACGGAAATGACTGAATGTAAATCAGTTCATATACGTTCATATTACATTATTACATGCATTGCAACCCATTTGTGTCAATTTCTAGGTCCCAAATATTAGCGATTTAGCTCCTTTAACATCGGGAGATGAATTTATATAAGCTTCAGTTTGTTTTCAAATCCCACAATTATATATTGTACTTTATAAATAAAATGTAGGCTAAATATTTTAAATTTACTGAAGTGAATAAATAGTGTTCTGAAAGAAAACCTCAACATCCTATTTTGAGTTTAGTTGGTCTTTTTGTTTTGTTTGTTTGTTGAAATGTCTGAGGTATACTATGGATTTCGGTAGAAAAGGTAATGGACAGAGTATATATAATATTATTTGCTGAGAGAACACAGACATTGTAAATCTGTTGTGATCATGATTTTACAAAATTGAAGAGATATGTCAATAGACCGAGTACTGTCTTTAATTGTAGGCGTTTTTGACACTGATTGCCAGTAAACTTTTGATAGATTCACATCCACAGACGACATATTTGATTCTTAGTTATTACCAATTGCCGAAAATATTTCCACAGCGGCATTTTTGTTCGTTAAACGAAGTGCTTGTGCCTTTTCGATTTCTTCAGTCGCCATGTTTTGTAGTCTTGACTGATCTGTCTTTTTCTTCTTGTACAATTTCTTTTAAAGGGAATATTCGAGGCTATCATGTCTACTTCCGGTTAAAAACTGACAAGTGTATAGATTGAAATCAAATGAAACGAAATAGTGAAACTGCAAATTTAAATAATAAACAATAATTATACCATAAATCGTGCCCAGTACTGAGTAGGTCTACTAATTACAAAACTTTTGAATGAAGTGTTAGCTATAAAATAATCTCGACAAGGGGTTTTGAACTGTTTAATTATTGCAAGAAATGATAGTATATTAAAGGGACTATCCCGATTTCAAAAGAGTCTCAAAAATAAAAGTCGGAGTACGTATGAAATTTAAGCGCCAAAATATAGAGGAATGGTGTATTAACCTTCTCTCAAAATTCCAGCTTAAAATATTGAGTCGTTTGGACGTGAACGTCAAAACTGCTTATACGGACACGTAACCCTTTTAAGATTTCGGGTCAGTTTTTTCGTTGGGTGACCTGATAATCGATTCCCGTTCCTTGAGAGGTCTATATAGTGAATGGCCCATGTGCTCTACTTGATAACGAAAGGTAAATTTCACCTACACATTATTATTATAAAATAAAAGTCTAGTTTTATGCAGACACCGCATAATACAGCTTTGGACACTGGTCTCCATTTCCAGATGAAGACTGGCGGGTTTAAGTTGTTTGAAAACGTATCACAAATAGTGAGTTAGTTGCTCGGCTCTTAGCTAGAGAAATTTAAGGGATTTTAACACAAAATTAAGCAGTTTTATTCTGCAAAAAATATCGGGATTAGCCCTTTAAGGTATTGAATTTAACACAAGGGATTAAATTAATGTGCTGGTATCAAAAAATTATGCACCAAATCAATATTGCGATTTGCGACGGACATGATCTGGGCGACATACGTACTCAAATATTTTTTCGATTTTTATAATTTTCTAAATTACCTAAATTGATATTAAAGGGTTGGCTAATGTACAATAAGTAGGTCTAATCAATATAGACCTTATAATATATTTAGCATTGCCTACAATAATAATTTTCATCAAACTTTTAACACTGAATGGTTTTACTATGGCTTCTTATTTTATAACATGCAACGTTTCAATACTCTTACATGTATCTTAACCAAGTAAAACAAGAGCATCGCTTACGCTGCATGAAGTACGTCCACATTCCCGCTTTGATTGATATGGTAGACGATACACACAAAAATTGGGCGTGGCTCTGCTCTGGGGTTTTGATATGGACTATAATTGAAACGATTGTTTATGCCGAATTTGAAGAAAAGCTGTTAATACTTGCGACCTGTTGAAAATTTACAGACAAAATATTAACAAAATATTGGGTGTGGCACCGACCCAAAATCAGTAGTTGTCGTCCTTAGGGTATAATTGCCGCCTGTAGGTGACACACAGGCCAACAAGGAAACAAAATGGACGCGGCTGTTTCTCTGGGGGTTGGACATGCACCTTAGGGTATAAGAAATAAGTATGTGCAGTTTCAAGACGATCTGTTAAGAACAAACACATACAAAGATCGGGCACGGCTCTGCCCCTTGGAGATCGGGCAAGCACCCAAAATATTATCGGTCATCTTTAAGGAAAACGTATACAAAGTTTCAAGACGACCCATTAAGAAATGCGGCCTGTAGGCGACACACAGACACACAAAGAAAAAAAGGAATCATCCTTAGGGCGGAGAGGGGGAGAGAAATGGGGTTTAAGGTCCACTCGACACAAACTAGGTGCACCAAAAATAATAGGGATCATTCGTATGGTAGGCCTATATATAAGGAATCAAGACGACCCGTAAGAATTGCGGCCTGTAGGCGACACACATACCCACCCACACCCACCAGCACACCCAGACAGGGGCGACGGCATAATAGTTCACATTATGAATGTGGACGTATAAAAAAAAGAAAATATGTAACTATAAGAAATCATAAACACCAAATCAAAGATTTTCACAAATATTAGACGGAATGTGAAAAGGAACTCGAGTAGAGTGAATCTTAAAGACACTGAAAAACAATGGCAGTGCCGTAATGCTATTTTCTGGGGGTTGTAGCTTATTCCATCACTAACGGCATTAAATAGTACTTTTAATAAACGAGTGTTAAGAACTGGCTAACATTCACAATGAGTTAGATATCGCTAGGGTAAGGCGATAACTATAATTACGTAATATATATCGTTATACATTAATCTTCAACTCAAACAGTTAAAATAGACTTGAAACGAACCCACGACCGCAAGACAGAGGTGACCGACGTAACCGACCAGCTAGAGCCAAGTATAGTATTATATACTTTTTTGGACGATGCTATTGCTAGAGATGCTTACTATGGCGTGAACGAGAAGACACAATCTGATTCTCTCCTGGCATTAAGTTAGCTTTTGAACATGTTTAGAAACAAAAATTTCCAACCAGATTTTTTTAAAATTTTAAAACCTGTGTTTGTTATTTTTTGTTTTTCACAACAGAGGACATGAATATGATTAATTAAGACGAAGTAAAAGCGTGACAAACGACTATGTGTTATTGTTTTTTTTTCTGTTTTTCTTTGTTTTTTTTTTTGTTGGGTTTAGTTTGTTGTTGTTTTTTTAGGGGTGGGACACTCAATATCAGCCTTATTCAAGTAATAATATTTTGTCGCCAACGAGACGCGTTAGCTACAAGAAAAATGAAATGAAATGAGGTTTAACCTCCTACTGTTCTGTTCCAATACTTGTCTAATGAGGACGGGCAAACGCCATACAGTGTGCTATGAGAGAAATTTTGCCTTCTCAGTGGCACTTTGGCCTACTCTTACATCGAATTTCAACAGTCAAGGGATCTTTTACGTGCATGCCAATGTGTACACGGGACCTCGGTTTTTCTTCCCATCCGAACGACTAGACAGCTGTCCTTGTCAGGCCTCCCTGTCCTGCACTACTGATAAGGGGAAACCACGTCGGAAAATGCAGGGATCGAACACGCGACCTCCCGGCTATGGAGCCAGCGTCTTACCCACTTAGGCAACGTCGCTCCGCCGTTAGCGATAAGAGTTACGCTTCTCATACAAAAATGTAGAAAATAGGTAAACCAAGATTGAGTTGTAGTCACTGAAATGTCAGGAAATATGTTTTAGCTTCGAGTAATTTGAGCAAATATAATAACCCATCATCATAAGTAGTATGATAATCCTCAATATAATTAGAAAACTCTGTTGACTAGCTGTCCGTCAATCTCGGGTGTTAGACATCCATTTACTTTCTAAAACATTAACATGTCAAAGAGACCAGCTACTGACCTTTTAGACAAGTAGCCATTAGATAAAACATGCATACCCATTGAAACTTAAATGGTCCAGTGAAGCTCGACAAAAAAAAAACAACAACGAAGGGGTTATTTCAAAGAGCATTGAGGGGGAACTCTGTGTTTAAAAACGTTTTCTGATGTAGGTTTATTAAGGGTGATTTTTACATGTGAAATTTTGTGTTGTTTAAATATCCCCTGGCACTTCCTCTAATTTAAAATTTTGTCATTCACATACATCACATAACTGTCACTCATGTGTCCCACTGGAAGGCGGATAAAAAGACACAAAGAACTGACAGCCTAAAGTTGCCATGATCTGTTCTCAACCCTACATGCCCGTCTTCATTTCATTGCATATCCAATGTTAATACACACCTGACAATTAATGCCATTTTAGAAAAAAACTGTATTCATTCAATTATCTATACATTAGAAGCCGTATGCTTTTATTCCACCATTTCCTACTTGTTGGCCTTTTAAAAAAATGTATATGACATCTATCAAAAATCTTTCGTGACAAACTGTCATGGAAGACATGACAGAAACGTTACGAAACGATAAAGATGTTGTTATTACACCGTCTTTAAGTGGTTTTCTGCGTACATGTTTCGGTAGAAAAATTATTATAAATAGCCGTAGCATCGACCTTCAGTCATAAAATTATAAAGACTCGCCCATAAAATCTTCTAAAACATTAAATTTGTATTTTAACTGAACGGAGAACAAGGGACTTGAGATTCTTTTCGATAAGGTAGGTAAATTTCGGAATTTTCTTTATTTGAATTGATTTACATATTCATTAAAATATACGCACAATTATTATTTTTTAAGAAAACAGTGTGTATAATCAATCTTTTACAATTAATTCACGTTTTGGACAATATAGAAAGAGAAATATATAACGTTTTCTGTAACTTTTGAATGACGTTTAGAAGTCGAAATATTTGACTAATATTCCTTTCATGATACTAACATCTTTAATTTGACTAAAATTCCTTTCATGGCACAAACTTCTTAAAAAATACGTTTTATGGCGCTAAAATATATTTTACGGAATTAACATCTTTAATTTGATTAAACACGTTTTACGGTAATAACTTCGTAAATTTGACTTCAAAAATACGTTTTATGGTAAAAACTTCTTAAATATGACTTAAACACGGTTAACGGTGCTAATTTCTCTAATTTTATTCGAGAATGCCATTTGTATAAGTTGAAACGTGTACATTTCCAAATTATAACCACAAAACACATTTGAGTTCAATTTGTTTTACTTTGTAGAATAAACTACAAAATTCAATTAGAATATTCACGGTTACTTCTGGAAAAAAAAACAAATTGAAATATTTCTAATTATGTGTATATAAACACAGTATAGACGGAATGGTAAAGTTTAGTTTGCATCTTAAAATACAGAAAAACGTGTATCCGTGCCCTGCACAGGTATATATATATATATTTGCGTATCTCTGCAACAACAAAATCGTGCTGGAGCTGCGATGGTTCAGTGAGTAAGATACTGATTCGCTAGCTAGGAGTTCTCGCACCCGGTGTTGACTGAGAAAGATCCTCGGGATTTTCGGGCCTGACTTCCTCTTGTCAGTGGTGCAGGGTGGTGGTGGGGTGGAGGCAAGGCCAGTGTGTAATCGTTCGGATGGTACATGTGTCTCCGACATTCCTTGCACATGTAACTATTGAAATGAAAAACAATGTTTTCATTGAGGTGTAAAACTCGCTTATATTATCGCCAAAATCAATTTTTAATCGCTACTTTCATTTTTTTTATTTTTTTTTTATCACAAATTTCGATTTTGGCGACCAACAACGTGAGCCCTGATTATAGCCTTGAAAACTGGACTGGAAACACGTGATTTTTGTCATTTGAGATTGGGCACTAAAGCTCCAGACTGCATGGGAATGCGCCATTGCGCCACCTTCACGTAGTCTCTGGAACTCTCCATAACTCACCGGGTCTAAATCCTACCTTGTCTCTAAGAGCCCTGTTCCTGCTTAGAAGACATTCGACACTGCTCATTTCATTTTAAGCTTTTCTCTCTTTTTTCTTCAGATTAACAAGAAGCAAACAAAATGGAATCTGGCACATTGTTAGTTGCCATATATTTTGCTGCATGTCTGTCCGGCGCATGTAAGTCACCGTTTACTATTTATTTAAAGGCAAATTGTGCTTTTTATTTCTTTGTATTGCTTACCGCATTCTAGTCTTCGACATTTACAGTAATATGCTTGGCGATGTGTCTTGTGCTTATGCCTATGCTGCAGTCGAATCATCTCGTATTTATGGTAACCACGATTTTCCAACTTGAAATAAAACATAATTGGGGTTAACGTCCTACTTTTCAACATCAAGACGAAAATACGCCATACGCTGATCTATGTGTGAACGTTTGCTCCGACAGTGGTATTTCTGCCAGCTCCTTTGAGTTTCTTTTACGTGCACACCGGTCATCCTGACCAGCACCATAGTTACTAAGCTAGTGTGTCTCCCACAAACTATAAAATGGCGGACAAATCACGTTACGCGCCATATTTTGTACTTGGAAACTTTTTTTGACGTTCGAATTTTCAAGTAGAAATTATGACTCATATAGCAACCAGAGGCTTTTTTAATATAGCTTAAAAGCATAACGCCCAATGGCAGTACATCGGCACATTTAAATTTATGGAAATGTTAGGTCAATCGCCTAGACTTCCTTCCTTATTATACCCCAGTACAACCAGCTGGAAGTGCTGGCGAGGCATACAGCTGAAATGTTATTTTTGGCATGATTGTAAAGTGAACAAGACAAGGCAGTCAACAACAACCCACATAGGAGACATAACAACTTGATTTTACAACGAAACATAGGCTCATGGGGTAAAAATCAAAATTTATTATTGTGTGTCCACAGCGGCACAGCAGTCACATCGGTCCTGCGCCGACACCGCATGGGGGGGGGGGGGGGTGAGCCTTAACATGACTGCTTGTGTAATTCTTCCCCACTCTCGTGACAATGCTGCTCCAAGTAGACGGAGTTGAGGGCCCTGGATGCAGTCCCGGGTCCAAGGGGGCAGTGTGAGACAGATATGCATCTGTAAGTTTATAGTCCCGCCAGTCTGTCAGGAAATGTGAAATCATAAGTGACTGTTTGTCTTTAAAAAGGATTAGCTGGGATTCGCATCTTGATTGAAGGTTTTAGCTGGGATTCGCATCTTGATTGAAGGTTTTAGCTGGGATTCGCATCTTGATTGAAGGTTTAAACTTATGTCCTAATAACAAAAATGTTAAATATTTAGTGACAATGCTTATTGCGTACAACGCGGGTGGGGGTTAAGAGAGAGCGCTGGTCATTCTAACGCTGCCACGTAGTTTTCGTCCATAGAGACGCGTGCTGAAATGTTTGCAAATAACGTTGAGTCAGAATTTGGTGTAACTTAAGGCCATCTGACACAACAGTATCAGCAATGAGGAAAGCCAACAGTGTGCGATCCTCCAGAGGATACTGGATAATGGACCGTCGTGTCGAGGCGCTGCCACGCGTTGTCGCCCAGTCCTGGACCGATTTCTAGTTGACCATGTCTTTTGGAAACGATCTATCATCCTCTGGATGTTTGTATTATGGCATCCAAACCATCGAGAAACGGCTCCTGAATTAACACAATATTGTGTTAGTTGTCAGTGTTCAGGCACCTCTCTTGGCATACCATTGCGCTTTCCACAGAACTATAGGTGTTACACTGTCTCTCGCTCCTTGAAAGCCACATTTATACCACAGATCTCAACCATAAAATCGTGATTTTCAAAATCCCATTTTGTAGAATTCAATCTTTTGTGTTTGAGAGAACTGATCTGTAGTGAAATCGACAATCTCACGTGTTATCGTTTTGGTTTGATGATGTTGTTACATTCAGAATTGCAATTTATATCATATTACGATCTGTCTTTGAGTCAGAGGTGTGTGAGTTCGATCCCAATCTTGTACGTGACAAAGAGCATGGTCGTCTGCCAAACCTCGTGGGTTTTATCCATATCTTTAGTTTCCTCCCACTGTTGAACAGCACTGATACGCGCATGCGAATTATTGAAATAAAATTGTACCATCTTAGTCCCAAAATGACCTAGTTTAGGTCGAGTGGACGTAAACCCAATTTATCCCCCTGTTTGCGAGAAAATACCAAGAATGGCTCCCAACAAAACCAGCAAGCTGACACAAGTGACCAAATGTGTTGTCACGCACTTCCTTATGATTAAATCTTAGCCTTTAACCTCTGTCACACTCATCTGCTGTTACGCTGGTGCACTCACTGCGACCTGAACAGTACCTCACGGCAAAGCGCAAATAGATCTCTGAGAATGATTTGGTGACGCAGGCCGAGAGAGGTTTACCATGAGCTACCTTGAGCGTCAAACCTCGGGATAGGCAACGAGCCTTACGATCTGCAGCGCACAGCTCACTCGGCCACCGACACTTTTTCGGCAGAGGCATTGTGAATCCACCGCAGCAATACCTTAAAACGTTGACATCACTGAAGACGGATAGCACCCGATGTTATTAAATCACAATAAAGAGGCGTTTTCGCCTAAGAGAACCGTAACCCATAAATAAGTCATTTCTAAGTACATAAATAACAAAATAATATACAAGTAGAGACATCGTTCTCTCGTATATGTCTAATATGTATACATCAATGTCTACAACGTCATCAAAAATTGTTGAAAACTCACACAAACTTGTTTTTGTCATTCGTTATTAATTATTAAAGCAATTATGTTATGCGGTTTTTTTATTTATTATTTTTATGAGCTTTGTAGAAGATATAAATATGTCAAAGTTTTCTTTGGGATAAAGATACATTATGGGAGATTAGATAAAGAGCTGGCAGTTCTCACTATAATAGTTAAAAACTAGATAATGTAAAGGGAAATTGCTGAAAATTTCAGTCAAATTGATTCACTCTGAACCGAGAATTTAGTGATACGATAATTTAATTATCAATGAGCGTTGAGCAGCAGTTCGGATTCTAAGCCAGTAAATATCGCAGGCTAGCGATGACATCGAGAGTTGATTATGGTTTGGATAAGTTAATTAATGTCTAATTAATAATTTAGATAACATTTCAGGTCTAAAGAAAGACCTGCAATAGACAGATTTAGCTCTTGTATAATGTATGTTTAACTAATTACTAATTTAAGAAATTTCTTTTAAAATAAACGAAAGTACCTCGAATCTGGAGGTCAGATCAAACTTTCATCCTGTGGTTGAATAAGATAATTAAAACCAGATGTTTTTACATTCGTATTCCATGGGCGTTCGTTTTATATTCTATGAATATTCTGTGTTTTATACTGTATCGGACTAAAATGCCATATAAACCCGGTATTAAAGTAACCGTCTCCCATGGTCTTGAAATCTAATTAAAATCAGATGGGTTCATTAGTTCTTTTTTCCACGCTTTCTTCCTGTGTAACGTTATAATCCCTATGTTTCATCGGGCTCAATTTTCATGCAGAAAATCAGAATAATACAAACGAAACGATATAAGAATAAAAATCACAATTGGATCGACCGACTTAGATAATCCATTTAAAAAAAAAAGAAGCACGCTCTTGTTTTAGGTACGTTAATGTAAATTTAGAGATCGCGAAACGCAGTGTCATTATATCCAAAATATGACAGATGATGATTTATTAACATTATGATAGCACATATATACCCATAGTGAAAAGACACAACTTTAAGTGATGAACCGTCACCCAGCAATTAATGCTCTTTCTGTAATTTATCAAAAATAAACACGAAATAATGGTGTATAACATTTCTCGGGTGACAAACTATAAATTCTCAGTAACATAACAAAAATAGAACAAGACAGAATAATCCATCATCTCTTTTAGATTCAAAACAACAATCTAGTAGTAAGCTCATAATGCACAGTTAAACAGAAAAGACACCTGTCCGGTGCTCACCATGTCAACATCTTTCCTGGTCATTTAGACTAATAAAAGTGGCATTATGTAAGTTTAAGATAAAGAGCTGTCAATATGGACTTCACGATGTGTTTCTTTAATACCAAAACTCAGTAAAAAAAAATGGTAGTTATAAATACGTGTTAGTATAACAGCAATACATCATTAATACAAAAGTCACAACAGCTATGATATTACATATACAAGTCTAAGCATCAGTAATGACGCTTGGCAAAAAAAAACAAACCGTGCTCTCTTCTTTTATAAGCAATACATCCAATGCGTAAGAAGTACTAATTCCTATATCCTAATAGAGAAACTGCGTAAACAAATATGTGCCCACAATTTGTAGACCCCAATTTGACATCACTGACTGGTAATTTCCATACCGTTATTTTAAACACCACGGATGGGAGATGTGGGTGGGGGTGGGGGTCTTCATGGCATCCTGATGTTTACGTGTTGTTGATAGATACGGTCTTCGATAAATTGATTAGAGACTATTGGCAAGCGTAAATTTCTGGTCCGTATCACGTATCCGTATCGATTATGCTTGTGACGTCATCAATGTGTGTGTTTTTCTCATACGTGATACGGCAGCACGTATCAAACAGCTTTCCTACGGAAAAGGTCCGTATAACATCATCTTTTTACCGTCTTGTTTGCTACTTTTAGACGCTGAAATGTGGTATAGCGTGTTTATGAATCTATGTGTATCCTAGAACACAAAGGTGAATATTTGATGTGATTTTAACCATGATAAAGACTGGAATTTAATCATTATGCTTGATGAGCTTTTATGGGAATTTTCATATTTTTCCTGTCTGTCTGTCTGCATGCTGGTTGATCTACGTGCTAAATTTAGGGAGGTGGGACCTTGCAAATCTCTAAATGATGTGATTCTATGGTAAATGATACCTTAGTGAAACCAAAAAATGCCGTCGAGTCGAAGTCGAAGATTTTTAATAATATTCGGCATTAAATGTTTTTTAATAGCTCAGCGAATGTCTAGCGACTTTACTCCCTCTAGGAATTTGTAGGCTAGACACTTGACTAGTACTGATGGTGATCTTGGTAGATAATTGCCATCATGCTGTAATAGAACTAAGCTCAACTCATCTACTCATACGTACGCGGCGGGAAAATCTGCCCAAACTCTAAAACTACATTGACGCAACGTATCACGTGACGATACGGATACGTGATACGGATGGGAAAAAACCCGCTTGCCAAAAGTCTCTACTATCTACAGCCCGTAACATTTCGACACTTGCTTTCTTATGAACCCATCTAAGGTTATCATCAATTTGCGCCGTATCGTTTCAATGATATTGATAGCTAAACAATTTCTTGGCGCTACGTTTAAATGAATGTTTACTGGCACTGTTCGCGCGAAGGAAGTGTTCGTTATTATTTTCGCTGAAGGCTTAACTATGCAGCCTTACACGTTTGTGGCTTCCCATCATTTTCTATTTTGGATCCTTTTAACAATTGCTTTAACATTGCTGCGGTTTGTTTAATGCTTTCTTCTTGCTTTGGGACAGCGGCTTGCTTTAGCACTGTGATTGATATCTACTTGATTTAGCGCTTTGATTGACAGCTGCTTGCTTTAGAGTGGCCATTGGACATGAGCCTGGATAGATGCTTACTTTAGCGTTGTGATTTGACAGCTGATTGCTTTAGCGCGGTGATTGGACAGCGGCCATCGTTAACGAGGTGATTGGATAGGCCATGCTTCTTAGATGCTGATTGCATTGTTCTGCTTTGATATGTGGGTATACTTTTGTTTAAGTGTTATTTCAGTTTTTCAAATTAAAGTAGAACCCGGGCTGTTACAGCATATGCTGCTTTTATATTTTTCATTATTTAGTACTGACAAAAATTCAACTGTTCACAACCGTTTTGCATTTAATAAACAACTTAACACGGCGGTTAAATGCTGGGAGATGTTTTGTCATTCAAGTTAAGAAACCGGCGTGTTAATTTGTAATAATGAATAAATGCAATATAAAAGCAAGGTTCTGCTTTAATGACTGGTGTCTTTTATTAAAACGAAGTCTAAAAATGGCCAATCAATATTTCTTAACCATTTCTAGATATTGTATCGGTCACGACTGTATAAATATTATTAAAATATGGAAATATGCTCCTTTATTGTTACTTATGCAGAAATATTGTTTATATAATAACCGACCCGGATCCCGACGCACCAAGAATAAGTAAAGGCACGTACACGTAAGGCCGGGTATATCGGCTATTCCAGTATCTGATCATGATCCTGCGGGGTTTTGTTTCCCATTCCAACTCGGAAACCCTATCATATTGCATCATAATTGTCTACGTGCGTGAAAAGGGCTAGCATAAGACAACAGAATCACTCAAACATGTTTTCGTTTTCGCATGAGGTAGGGTGAATACTGTCATACATTCAACAATTTCGTTTTTCTTCTTTTGCAGACCCACAGCGATTGTCTCCAAAAGATGCTGCCAATTTACTGGCACGTATTCAGAACTCTCAAAACTTCCAAACAACAGCGGTTGCTGCACCTCAAACGTTCAACCCGACCCCCAATACCCAAGCAAACGTTCCAGGATCTCAAACCCAACCATCATCGATAGACCAGCTAATTAAGACTGCCCAGCCTGCATCATTTAATCAGTTAATGGAACAAATTCAGAAAACAACACCAAATACACAATCATCACCACAACAGCAAGCTTCCAATTCTCCTAGTAATTTTTTGCCTTTTGCAGCTACTGGTATGATCGATGGTCCCATGGCCAACATAGCTGCTGCCAGTGCTCTTTCTAACCGCCCAGGACCTCTAGGAACCATGATGGCTACAAATGTGTTAGACGTGGGCGATACTGGACGGGGGTTAATGTTAATGAATTCTCTGCGAAATCAACCACAAGGTAGAGCTGGTTCACAGCCAGGTAATAATGCCATGGGTAATTATTTGACTGCTAGAGCCTTTGACATGGGTGATACTGCCTCCAGTTTGATGCTGTTAGGAGGAATGGGCAATAGTCAACAACAACAGCAACAACAACAGCAACAGCAACAACCTTTCAACATGTTCGGAGGGGGTCCCATGGGTAATTATATGGCCGCCAGGGCCTTTGATTTTGGTGACTTCATGACCAACATGATGCTCTTTAACGGAATGGGACAGCAGCAACAACAACCGCAACAGAGACAACAACAACAGATGCAGACACAACAAGCACCACGACAACAACAGCAACAACAGCGACAAGGACAGTCAAATTTTGATCCCATGTTAGCAATGTTGTGGGCTATGTAAATTATGCATGTATTTGTTACTGAACACTTCTCTAGAAATGTAACCACAATGTCTAATCTAACATTAAGATATATATAATTTAGGCAGATGTGGTGGGAATATCAGTTAGCTAATAGATCGTATTGACTTGAGACGTTCCAGTGATAAGAACTGTGTATTCAGTTACGTATTATTTCTAGTTCTTGTAAAATATATTTTATGTATATATTAATTATAGCTATTTAGAGATTGGAATATTAAAACATATATATTCGGGAATTGAATGTTGTTTGTTGTTCTACCAACATGTAAACACACAACGTTTTTTTGTACATTGACGTATAGTCGTGATTTAATACAACTTCGTCAACTCACATTTTGGAGGATGGCTAGATTCAATATATCAAAGAGATTCTAAGGACTTAAATTATCGATATCGTATAATTAATTGACGTTTGATGTAACCCCTAAATCTCCATAACCATCTGTTGATACCAGTGATAGAATCTCTCGGCCCCCGATACTATCTGTTGATATTAGTGATGTGATCTCCCAGCCCCTGTTACCATCAGTTGAAAGCAGTGATAGAAGCTCTCAGTCCCTTTTACCATCTCTTGATACCTTTGATATGATCTCCCAACCATTGTTACCATCTGTTGAAAGCAGTGAATCGCCTCGCGAAAGTAACAATAAAACTATTTCTGCAAATTTTTCAAATAAAATAAAACCAAGTATGAACAATCCAAACCATAAGACAGAATTCGAAGTCCTAAAAACGTTATAGGCAAAATAGTGTATTCAAGCAAAATAGTGTAATCAGCAAATGGACTGCTCCTCGGGTACAAAATACACGACAAACAGTGGTAACAGGTGTCCGGAAGAGTAAGCTTACCCTGCCTGAACAATCTCCAAGTCCTAGTTACCATCTATTGATATGTGTGATGTGATTTGCCAACTCCTGTTATCATCTTTTGAAAGTAGTGATAGAATCTCACAGTCCCAGTTACCATCTGTTACTGTCATCTTTTGGTAGCAACCTTTGGACCTACGCTTCCACTACCATGTTCATAATTCCCAATGTGTTAATAGCCGTTATAGAGTATGCCCCGCCCCTCCAGCTCCTTTCCAAGACCATCTTTTCACAGTAGTTATAGGATCTTCCCTACGTCCATCACGAACACCTACGTCCACCTATCAAATCATCCATGATTATCTGTAGGTAGTTTTGACAGACCCTATTAGCCTTTGACAGCAGTGAACGGTTTCCCCTTCATCTGTAAACAACGGTTGGTAGCAGTGACATGGTCTCCCTAGCTCCAGAATAATTAATTGTTACCTCGGATTGGACCCCCTGTCTTTATCCAGCAATTCATAACAGTGATAGGAGAGGCTAGATCCTCTACCGCCATGACAGTTGCAAATGACAACCTCTCGATAGCAGTTACCAGAACCCCTTCAACCTGTTCATAACCGTTACCAAATCTGCTTCCTTTATGGGAACCTGTGTATAGCGGGTTACCTGACCCCCTTTTCCGTGAAGATCTGTTGATATTCGACATCCGGTGACCTTAGGCCTACCTAATGACCATCTATTAGACCCACTTCCTTTATATCCATCTCTTGCACGGCAGACCACTATGATTCTCCCAAATGTGATCAATAAAATTGGAGTATATTTTTATTTATCCCTTAGATGACGTGTTCAATATAATTGGAGTATATTTTTATTTTTCCCTTAGATGGCGTGTTCGTCCCGGATGGACCTCTGAAATGAGATCAATATAATTGGAGCATATTTTTATTTATCCCTTAGATGGTGTGTGTTTCCCGGGTGGACCTCGTCCTACCACAAACATGAATAGCTTTATACTCGGTAATCGCGAGATGAAGTGTCCAGGCGAATTATTGTTTAGTCCCAACACCTGTGAGTGTGGCTGTAAGTATACATACTTATTCTCTTCTAGAGCCCCGCTATGGTGGTGTCGTTTGGGACACTTTTTGTAAATATCCTTGGTTTAAATCCCGATGTGAACTAAGCACTTGGACCACCTGTGTGAAAATTGCATTGTATATACAGCTAGAGAACATTTAGTTTTATGATATACCGTAGCCGAATGTGGATTGTTTAAAGCATCACCTAAGCAGTGTGATATAGGAATTGATGTCCATCCCCCTGGCAATATGGTGATATAACTGTAGCACAACAATACTTCAACAACATTATATTGCCCATGTGAAAACTCTGGTGTTCCTGACAGAGTAAGCACATGAATTTGTGTACGACATCCGTCACTAGTCATAGCTAACTGTAGCAACGGGATGGAACTGAATACCCGAAGAGTACTGGGTCAGCTGTTTGAATAATTTCTAACTTGAAGCCGCAACAGTGCAACAATGTATATATAACATATTTAAACCAACATCCTGGTAAATGTTCATGGCTTTTATCCCCGAGGATCTCTGTATGGGAAATGAGTATGCTTAGTCTTTCCAAAACTTCTAATACTACGCCTCATATTTATTTATTAATACTATTTGTATCGGTCAAACTTAACCGATGTCTTTTTCTTTTTTCCAGACAGACGTTCCATGAGCTTTTATAAATCTGGTTTTGTCCACTGGGTTAATAGAGCTAATCACAAAACGACTACGACGGACAATCCAACGTCTATATTTCAGCCAACATCCCCTATTCCTCTCGGAGAAGCTATACAAAACAGCTCAGACTTAACCGAAATTACAGAACAAGAACTCCGTGGGCCTTACAATCAATCAGAATTTCAAATTGAAAACTTCGGAAATCCTTCACCACAAGCAGACCTCCCCGTCTCGCAATTTCCAGTGCATGGTTTTGGATTGTTTGATCAGGGAACTGATAGTCAATCATCTCATTTAGAAAGTCAGTCAATACAACAACTAAAGCCTTTTCTTCTTGCAATACAGCAATCGGTCAAAAAAAATCCGCAAGCCCAACTACCCATGCAACTGCCATCAGAACTCCAAAATTCTAGACAAGAATCACAAACGTTACTTAAAGACGTAATCACAACGGCAGCTAGACCAATAGTAGAAATGCAGCAGCGAACGACGACGCAGCCAACCACATCACCATTAAAGTCGACAACAGCGAGCACGCAAGCGACAACAACGGGCACGCCACCGACAAAAGCGAGGGTGGAACAAACAACCACCACGACGACTGAACCGACGACAAGTACAACGACGCAATCTACAACAATGCAGGCAGCCTCAACACAGCCAACCACTTCGCCAACAACGGCGACGACCACCACGACTGCAGGAACGTTACCGACAAGGACACCCACAGATATACGAGCTAAGACTACGCTGTATCAAATTACAAAGGAAACCCCGTCATCTCAACCACAAATAGATTCTGTCAAAATATTCCAAAATCCAACACAGCCAATTATTGGATCACAGCAGCTCGAGCAACCTACACAAATAACTGAACAGCTAGGACAAACGACGCAGCTGTCAACAGAACCTGTTCAAACCTCTCAACAGACAGCACAATTGTCAGTGCAATCTGTACAAGTACCCCAACTGTCAGCGCAGTCTGTACAATTACCCCAACTGTCAGCACAGTCTGTGCAAGTACCACAACAGACTACTCAATCTGTACCCCGACTGTCAACGCAACCTGTGCAAGTACCACAACAACCAACTATATCTGTACAAGCAACACAATTACTAGCGCAGCCTGTACTGGTATCACAGCGGCCTACACAATATGAAAAAGCATCCGAACTACCAGCGCAACACATGCAAGTACTACAACAGCCACCAAAACATGTTCAGACGCATCAACCACTAGTGCAGACCCCTCGAAACAGACAACAATCAACAAACGACTGGCAACGTCAATCGCAGACATTTTATGATCAAGGAAATCAACCGAGAGATAATTATAACCGCATAACAAACATTAACAATGTTCCCAGACAGCAACAGCATCACCAACAGCAACAATATTTACAGAATCAACAGTATCAAAATAACAATAATAACTTTGGTTTAGATCCTTTTATAGCATATTTCTTGACATCTTAATCAAAAGACTTAAGCCGTCTTCATTAGCCCTATCACAGCAGAACACAATTTCATTTCGATATATTAAGATTTTTTATTTTGAGTGAAGTCAGACCAACGTTGTGCTTATTTGTCGCAGTTATTGGTAATTTGAAAACGCGTAGAAATAATGCAAGAATTCGTTTTGGAGTAAATGAACAAACGGTGATTAACTTTGGGCAAATATGTCTCAAAGAACAGGACCAAGCAAACAAAGATTCTTTAATATACTACCTCAGCAAAGGATATTTTTTTTTTAATTTATTTTTTTATTGTTTGTTTTCTTTTAAATATAAATCAATGACGGGATTCTATCAAGCGAAAGTTTATTTTGTAAGATACTTATATTTTATTAGAAATATATTTATCAATTAATTTAAGTGTTATGTAAAGTAAGAAGCTAATTTGTTTTTTGCCATTTTAGTGTATTTATTATCATTTTATCGCCCACGATAACCATTCATTTAGACTGTATACATTTATTACATATTGACACTGTGTTTAGTTGTATTTCCGTTCCGTTTTTAACTTTATCATGCTGGCACCTGATTATTACTTCTTCTCCCCCCCCCACCCTTTACATGTCGATTTTTTTTTTAATTTGTGGTATAGAATCGCAGAAAGGGGCTTTAATCTACATTTTTGTCAGATTTTGGTAAATACTCGTGATCTTGAGTCGCAAAGATAACAGCGTTAAAAAGTTGGTTCCCTTGAAATGTAGAACGTATACTTGCATGTTTAACAGTATGCTACTTCCCCTTTGTGTATCTCAAGATATCTATGGTGCACATTATACACGGTATTCAACAAGAAGTTGCCACATGTTGCTCCAGCTGTGGTAGAAGAAAGCGTTCAACCCCACGAAGGCTTGGGAAATAGTTCGAGCCGTACACGATGGCGAGAATTAACATTAAATTCAATGGGGAAATCAATGGTGTACTGTGGCCATACCCCATTTCCACAGTGAACACGATATTGGCTAAAGTTTTTAACAGATTGTTTTCAAATTTGGTGGGAAACATTGGGGTCATGAGCGAATGAACCCTATCGATTTTCTGTTGCCTTATAACTTGTGGAAATAAAGTTCCTACTTCATTTTTTACCCGTATGTACCTAACATGCTCTTAGAAGCTCTCACTAAGGATATATATCAAAAAAGAAAATATTCTAAAATTCCGAACTGTCGG